AGAGACGGGGGTCTCGCTCTTGCTCAGGCTGGTCACGAACTCCTGAGCTCAAAGCATCCGCCAGCCTCGGCCTCCCAGAGTGCTAGGATTACAGGCGTGAGCCACTGGCGCCCTGCCTGGGGGAGTCATTTTTTTCTCTTAGGATCTCAATTTCCCCACCATAATCCCAACCTTGTAAAAGGTTGGACCATAATCCCAACCTTGCAGATGATGTTTGGAGGACGACTGAAATGAGGACCATAATCCCAACCTTGCAGATGATGTTTGGAGGACGACTGAAACGGCGGGAAGAAAGTGCCCGCGCAGAACTGGGCCCACAGTCAGTTCTCAACAAGGGCTAGAGCCTCCCGCCGTATTACCAAGTTTGGTGGATGACCTTAAGGAAAGCATTGAACTTCTGTGAGCGGTACCTCCCTCGTTTGGGTCACTGGAGAGGTGACTGCCAGCTCCCAGCCCCCATTTCCCCATCACTAAGTCAGGTGACTTTAATGTTAACTGACCCGCTATCAAGTGCCAGTAAACAGCTAGCCCTCAACACCTGCGCCTTATCACAATCACACTCTCTCTTCCTGGGATTCCTCTCTCTCTCTGGGAGGCCCGAGAGGCTTCTCAATGGTGCCCTTGACCCCAGACTCCCAGCGCGGGGACAACCAAGAGCATGCCGTCCACTCCCATCTCAGAATGTGTGCTGCACATGGAGCTCAGCGCCCCCAACCACGCCCCCCAAAGCGTGCTGCCCTCAGACATGGACTCAGGGAGACCTGAGTGGCAAACTCAAGCTTGCCCATGCACGCTGGTAGTCCTCTAGCCTTCAGAGCCTGGGTTCTGTCATCCGGGAAGTAGGGAAGAGGTGCCCCTACACAGACTGTTAAATGGTGACACAGGACTTCCTGCACAGGCTACGCGCTCCTACCTGCAGGATGTCGTGCGTGGGCTCCTGGAGTCCATCCTCAGAGACTTTAGGCGCCATCTTTACAATGTTCCTCAGATCAACCCCTGCCAGGGGTGGGGGGGTAGTGGGGTGGTCAGAAAACAAGTGACAGTTGTCAACCTCATGGGCTTGCTGGAGTCACGCCTCATGTCCCTTCTGCTGGGAACACCTCACTCTGGAAGCCTTTTTTTTTTTGAGACAGAGTCTTGCTCTGTTGTTGGGGCTAGAGTGCAGTGGTGTCATCATAGCTCACTGAAACCTGAAACTCCGGGGCTTAAGCGATCCTCCTGCCTCAGCCTCCTGAGTAGTTAGGATTATAGGCATGTGCTACCACTCTTGTTCAGGCTGGTCTCAAACTCTTGGCCTCAAGCAAGTCTCCTGCCTTGGCCTCCCAGAGTGCTAGGATTACAGGCCTGAGTCATTGGGCCAGCCAACGGGAGCAGAGTGGTAATGAGGCCATTGCCAAGCAAGGCTGCATTATAACATGCTATGTCTGTGCGGTGAGGTGGCACATTCAGCCTGGTGAATGTGAGAGGGGAGGGGACTCCACAGCTTTCTCTCTTGGGACTCCATCCCTCCTGGCCCTGGCCTCATTCTTGCCCCTGCTGGGACCCCCGTGGGAAGCCCCACTATGCTGGACACTTTTGGTCACCGCACCAGCCCCTGTCCAGGGCCCATACCCCATTCTGTGCCTGGGAGACTGACCTCTGACTTCTTCTGGCCCCTGGTGCCCTTGCCCTCTGGCTATCGGGCTTTTGCAGTGGGGAGCTGGACTCGAGATCGGGGACAGAAGGAGGGGAATGCGGGTGTCCATTCCCTGCTCCCTGCCTCTACCTGAGGGCCTGTCACCTGTCAGGTAATCCTTGTTCAGAGCTCCTGCTCTCTGCTGTGGCCCCTGGGGTACCTGTTGTGGCCGGCGGCGGTCTCCTAACCCTGTGCACATCATTGCAAACAGCCCCCTCATGACCACTCTCCTCCATGGCCTGGTGTGGGGATGCCACTTGTTTCTACAGGCTGGTGACTGACACCCCCTTTTGCCTCCATAAGCTCAAGGTGGGGTGCAAGTAGGGCAGGGAGGCAGGCGGCCCTGCTTCCCAGGCCGGGGTCAGGGAAAGCTTCTCCAAGGAAGTCACAATTAAAATGAGATCCACAGGAAGGATCCAGCCCCATAAATATCTGGGTGAGGTGACAACAAAGAGAGGGTGGGAATGAGGTGGGAGCAGGGTGGCAGGTCTGCCTGGGGCAGTGTGGCGAGGGGATGGGGCCCAGTGAGTGCCCGGCTGCCATGCCAGGCATGACGGGGCTGTGGCAGGCCCCACCAGGGAGGGAGGGCCTCCTCACTCTTGCATGTAAGAGCCAGGCATGGCAGGTGACAGTCATACAACTGTACCTTGTGATTCAAACTGCTCCACGGCTTCTTTCACTGCCTCTTCAGGCCCCATCGCAAACTCCTCGATGTTCTCGAGCACAGCTGCGTTGAAGGTCTCCTGGGTGATACACCTGGAGGCCATCGTCCCCTGCGGAGATGTCGATGTGCAGACGACACACACACCAGAGCTGAGAAGTTAGGGTGAGAAGAAAGCTTCATCACAGGCGAGTAGGCAGCTGCAGGGCCTCACCACCGTGAAAATGCCACTTAGGATGCATCTACCAGGGACTGAAAATTTGTGACCACTCTGGAAAATTCTCAACACCTAGATCACAGGAAAGTGTGATATCCTGATATCTTTAGAGCTTCTAAAAGGACAGAAGGGGCCGGGCATGGTGGCTCATGCCTGTAATCCTAGCACTTTGGGAAGCCAAGGTAGGAGGACCACTTGAGGCCAAGAGTTCAAGACCAGCCTGGGAAACATAGCGAGATCTTGTCTGTACAAAACATAAAAAAAAATTAGCGGGGTGTAGTGGCGTGCACTTGCGGTCCTACCTACTCAGGAGGCTGAGGCGGGAGGATCACTTGAACCCAGAAGTTTGAATCTAGCCCAGGCAACATAGCAAGACCCCATCTCTAAAAAAAATATGTGGCCGGGCGCGGTGGCTCACGCCTGTAATCCTAGCACTCTGGGAGGCCGAGGCGGGCGGATTGTTTGAGCTCAGGAGTTCGAGACCAGCCTGAGCAAGAGCGAGACCCCGTCTCTACTAAAAATAGAAAGAAATTAATCGGACAACTAAAACTATATAGAAAAAATTAGCCGGGCATGGTGGCGCGTGCCTGTAGTTCCAGCTACTCAGGAGGCTGAGGCAATAGGATCACTTGAGCCCAGGAGTTGGAGGTTGCTGTGAGCTAGGCTGACGCCACGGCACTCACCCTAGCCAGGGCAACAGAGTGAGACTCTGTCTCAAAAAAAAAAATAAATAAAATAAAAAATAAAAAAATTTAAAAAATATGTGTGTGTGTATGTGGTTATACACATACATAAAAAAAAAAAAGCAAATAAAACCCAGTATGCAGTAAAGGCACACTCTGGAAACCAGGGGAAGGGTTGCAGTAATTAGATGGCCCATTAACTCTGGGCAGAGCCTTCCCTTCTGGGGGCTTGGGGACAGGTCATGTTAAATAAGACAAAGCACTCAGTAAAAACGGCAATTCCCTTTGTAATTTCCACAGTGCATAGGATCTCAACATGAAGGTCTCGCAGGGTGCAAGTGGGTCACTAGCACCTAAAGTTTGCCAACCTTCCTTTGTAACAAAGGGAGAAACAGGCCGTAGGCCCAGAGGCTAACAAAGGTTAATAACTTTTTTCATTTTAATTGTTTTATTATATCTACAATGTCTATTACAGTAATATCAAGTTTCCATTGTGGAATTGATATCAAGTTTCCATTTAAAGTAAGTCACTTTTTTTTTTGTTTTGCTTTGAGATGGGTCCTAACCATGTTGCCCAGGCTAGACTAGAACTCCTGGCCTCAAGTGATCCTCCCACCTCTGCCTCCTGAGCAGCTACGACTACAGGCACAAGCCACTGCACTTGGCTGAAAATAGATCACTTTGTAAACGCACAGTAAAGTTGCAAGAACACTGGCAAGCCCGTCACCTAGCATCAGCAATTGTTAACATTTGGCTGCGTTTATCTGTGGGGGGTGTGTGTGTGCATGTACGCCCTCTGAGTGTTATCTAGGCACCGGACCCCTTCTTTCCTAAAGATATCAGCACGAATCTCCCATGAAAAGAACATTCTTTTACACAACCACAATATAAATGAAATTCAACACTGAGACAATAAACAGTCCTAATATACAGTCCATGATCAACTTTCTCACCTGTCTTAATATTTTCCTTTAAAACAATATGCGTTTTCTTCCTGGTCCTGGATCCACTCTAGAATCACATATCACGTGAAAAGTGTGGGGGGGGGGTGGAAAAAGGCACGGGGGCATTAGGACAGTGGTGCGGGGATCTGGCAAAAATCCCAGTGTGTACTTGGGAAACTGAGGTGGGAGCATCGCTTGAGCCCAGAAGCTTGAGGATGCAGGACGCAACGACTGCACCCATGAACAGCCACCGCACTCTAGCCTGGGCAACGTGGTGACATCCCATCTCTAACAAAATTTAAAAATTAAAATAATAAAAATGTAAAAATCTCAGGGGAAGTTTGGGCCATGTGGAAAACAGGGCCCTCTAGCCCACGCTTCTCTTGGCGAGAGGCGGCACAGGACGTGCAGAGCACTCCACCTGCGTCCACGCAGACGCTCACCACGCATGGCACTGCACACCGCCCTGGGGGAGCAGGGCCGCTCCCCGGCCAGCCTGCGGATCTCAAGTCCCAGGCCCTCCCCTCTTCAACTCCCCCATGCGGGGAACAGATAAAAACACAGAACCCATCTCACACAGTAGTGAAAATTCAACCAACTCCTATAAAGCCCTTAGAACAGGATTTGCACAGAGCAGGAGTTCAGTAAACATTAGCTCTTTGTTCCTTTCCTTTACTGCTTAAGAGGTAATTCAGTAATACCAGCGTGACCACCCAGCCAGGTTCACCGCCCAGGCCCGCTGCTCAAGAGGAAGCCAATTCGCTGAGACAGCAGGGGTTACGGCAGAGAAAGAGGTTAACATTGCAGCTGCCATGAGAGGGGACAGGAGGAAGTTATCAAATCCATCTCCACAGGAATTTGGGAGAAAGGGTTTTTAAAGATAATTTGGCGGGCAAAGGGCTAGGCAATTTGGTCTGCTAATTGGCTGGGCTCGGGTGGAACCATAGGTGTGTAGAAATTGTCTTTTTGCTGAGTTGGTTCTTGGGCAGGGGTCATAAGACCAGTTGAGTTAGTTCCTTGGTGTGGGACCACTGGTCTGGGTGGGTCAGCCGTTCCACCGGAATGCAGGCCCTGGAGCATGTCTCAAAAACTGGCCTTACGTTTCACAAGGTGATGGTATCTATGGAAAGAGTTAACAATCTTTATGACCGTCAGCTATGTGACTCCTGACAAGCAATTACAGGCAAGCAAACTAGGGGACAATGGCTGGTTATTATTTTTAACTATGCCTGTGCCTTTGTAGAGTTTAGGCACCAGACACAGTTCTCACCTTGCACCCTGTTATTAATTTACAAGGGGCGGTTTCAGTAGGACTGTGCCTCTGTGACAGGGTGGCCGTTCACTGTTCACATGCCCGAGTGGAAGCCTGGCCCAGGTGGTGGGAGTAGAGTTCATCCTGTAGCACTCAGCCCAGAAGCTCCTGCCCTTCAGACCTGGCCAGGGCACCCCTCCCACTACCACCCTGAGCACCCCACGGAGAAATTTTTTTTAATTCTTATTTTCTGTAGAGATAGGGTTTTGCTATGTTGCCCAGGCTGCTCTGGAACTTCTGGCCTCGAGCGATCCTCTCGTCTTAGCTTCCCAAAGTGCTGGGATTACAGGCATGAGCCACCCGGCCCAGCCGAAATTCTCTTACTCTTTTCCTTGACCTCTGACCTTGAAATCCTTGGGAACCCTGTTCTTCAGGAGCAGAGAGGAGAGGACCTATCTGCAAAGGATTGAGGTGTGGGGTTTGGTGCCCTAACTCCCCTGCAGAAACTGGCCAAATTACCTCTTAATTAATAATGTCCTGGTGAAATGGCCCTTTATAAAATTAATAAAGGGCCACAAGTGAGAACTCTGGTAGGGGAAATATATCTATAACCAGCCATTGTTCCCTAGCTTGCTTTCCTATAATTGCTTACTACTTAGGAGTCATAAAGATTCTTAGCTTTCTTCATTGCTCCCACAGATAACATGATTCTTGTGAAACTTTAGGCTAGTTTTGGTTTTTGGTTTTTTTTAAGACAGAGTCTCACTCTGTTGCCTGGACTAGAGTGCCATGGCGTCAGCCTACCTCACAGTAACCTCAAACTCCTGGGCTCGAGCCATCCTCCTGCCTCAGCCTCCCGAGTAGCTGGGACTACAGGCACGTGCCACCATGCCTGGCTAATTTTTTTCTATTTTTAGTACAGACGGGGTCTTGCTCTTGCTCAGGCTGGTCTCGAACTCCTGAGCTCAAGCGATCCTCCCGCCTCGGCCTCCCAGAGTGCTGGGATTACAGGCATGAGCCATCGCACCTGGCTGTAAGGCTAGTTTTTGAGATAGCTTCCAGGGCCTACATTCCAGTGGAACTGCTGACCCACCCAGACCAGTGGCCCCACACCGAGGAACTGACTCAACTGGTCTTGCATCGCCTACCCAAGAACCAACTCAATTTCTACACACCTATGGTTCCGCCTCGAACCCAGCCAAATTCTCACGGAGACAGATTTGAGAAATTTCTCCCGTCTCCTTGCTTGGCATTCTGCTACATAAAACTCTGTCTCTGCGGCAACCGCAGATGTCTCAGCGTACTGGCTCTTCTCTGTGCAGCGGGCAATACAACCCAGTTGGGCTGTTAAAAATTGGGGTCTCATCTGGGATCGCCCTTATGGGCGCTTTCCCGTGGTTTAGCAGCCTCTCATGAGTGGCACAGGTTTAGAGATGTGCCTTAGTGGCCACTCAGTTTTCTTGGACTGAGGGCCATCTCTGGCACCGTCCCTACCAGTGGGACATTGTTGACACACAGTGCTTGGAACTGTTTGCAGCGGAGAAACAGTTTCTGGAACTAGAAGATGTCTCTGGTGAGTTCTTGAAACACATCTTCCACCCCTTTCCTTCTCCGGATTACTGGCTTCGCTGGAGGCATTGTGCCTCCTTTGCAGGCCTTGGCTGGCTGTCCCTATATTATTGGAAGAGTCATTTCATAGGAGTTCTGTCCGGAAGAATGGTCTTGAACTTTTGACTGTGTGTGTGTGTATGCGTGTGTGTGGTATCCACTTTACTTTGATCGTGGCTCCCTTCCGTGTCCCTGCACCTCCCCCACACTTCATCTTGGGTATCTTCCCACTCACCCCTCCGGAGCTGAGGGGAAGGGCTTGGGAAACTGTGGCAGTGTTTGTTCTATACCGCCGGGGGACCAGTGGAACCCCCACAGGCCCCATTCCCACTATCGCAGGGACCGTCTGGGCTCGCTCAGCTCAAGCCTAAAGGGTTGAGTGAAGTGCGCCCCCGCTCCCAGGTCACCTCAGCCTCTTCACAACTGCCGGACAGCGAAGGGGTCTGCACGTGGGAGTCACAGGACTCTATATCACAGTGGGAGCGTGGGTTCTAAAATCCTGCTGAGCTCTGCTTTGAGAAGCACTATCTCGTGGCATTACTCAGCAGGAGGGGAGCGCCGCGGTCCATCTGGTGGGGCTACACCTGTGCCTATCGTACTGTTTTTCTCTCTGCCACTTTGGGCTTCCGATCAGGCCAAGAAAATTGAAAGTCTGATTTGGGTCCAATCCAGCAGACTGGGTGTCCCTATAAACTACTGGAGACTCCCTTTTGAGAGCTGGAGATGAATTTGTGCCAGAACAACAACAGTACGGGGAACCAGGCACCTGCCATGCCAGAAGGTAGCTGGCTGGGACGCCTTCTCAAAAACTGGAAGTCCTTCAGCTTTTCCCCATTGCCCCGCAAACAGTTTTTCTTCACCACACTGGCCACACTGCTTGCTGGGATCAGAACAGTTAGATTTATTCTGTAGAAGGGAAGAAAAATGGGATGAGATCCCCTATGTGCAGTGTTTTTTGTTACTCAGGCAAAAGAAGTCAATGCAGAAAAGGTGTAAGGTTATGATTCAGCAGGTAACAATAGAAAAAAGCCTGTCCTGCCTGAATCCCAAGAAAAAGATGATAAATTCATACGGTTATGTTATCGTCACCCTAATTATCACCATTACCAGGATCATCTGTATCTGGGCTAGTCTATGCCATGCCATAATGGTTCCCTGCTTTCCTTTGCTTACACATCCTGAACACTTAGGCTCATGGAGGATGCCACCTTTTGGGGCTGTGACCTTAGCCACCTTTTTATCCCTCCTTCTTTTGTCACATGGCCTAGAATGGCATGACAACACAGTAATTAAACTATCCCAAAATATCGCAAAGGGGGACATCTGTCTGATCGTTGGATTTGTTGGCATCTTCCCAAATCCAACCAAGACAAACATTTGCCATCGGTGACCCCCATGACTGACTCTGTAGACATCCCTGACGTGACCACTCACTTAGATCTTCCTCTGTCCTTAACTACTTTTCAAGTTCAGTTGGTCACCCATCAGGATACCCCTACTTCCATGTTTTGACTTGTCCCAACTCCTCAAGATCGGCAGAGAACAGTGGCCCATGGGACCACCTCGATCCTTAGCTTATTAGACTAACAAATGTAACCAGGATTGGATGGGGAATTGACAGCTTTATGCCAACAGGTAATATACCTGAAACAACATGTAGATAGATTTTAGAAAGCTTATGAATATCATGACCCTTGGTTTGATTCTGTGCTGGCTAAACTCTCTATAAGTAAACCCATAAATGAATACAATCTCGGAGACATTACATGCATGGCCCTAGGATATACCTTTGTCTGTGGCATGGGGTCTGACCCTCCGTCACTGGCGTGGGCCCACTGTTATATAGACAGCCTGCACACAGAGGCTCTCACCTGCTAGGTCACTTCACAACCCCTTTTACTACCCTCCCTAACAGAGTCTCCACTCCCTGCCCCATAGACTTAAGAGAGGGCTGCCAGGAGGATACCAGGACACCTGGTGGCAAAGCCTGCTGGGAGTACTAGTCCCTACTTACAGAGTATATATCAACAGAGACATGATTAGAAGTCTGTCTGTCTATGACTCTAGGACTGATGACAGAAGACACTACAAAAAGCCTTAGGGCTCAACAAAGCTCCCTCAACTTGCTAGCTCAGGTAGTCCTAGATAACCTGGCAGCACTAGACTTCCTGTGCTAAACAAGGGAGAGTCTGTACAGTGTTAAACACTACCTGTTGTATCTATATAAACACCTCAGAAGAAGTTGAAATCCGAATAGAAAAAATTTCCCAACAAACTGTGTGGCTATAACAGGTCTCTACTAGTGACCCCACACCTGACTGGTTTTGGGATTATTCACTTGGATTCCCCAGAACTTCAGATCAGTTCTGCAGGGACTCCTGAAGCTGGGACTCTCACTCCTTATCCTAGGGCTCATTATCTATCTTACAGTCTGCTGTCCATTTAAGTACTGCACTAAGGCTGTCAATGAAAGTACTAATGTTTTTGTCATGCAAATTTTAGATCTGAAACCCAGCACCCAGGAATACTTGCAGACAACTGCAAAATGGTTTCATTCCTCTCACCCTGGCCTCAACCCCAACTATGCCCCTTGTTCCCTTAGCAGAAAGAAGCCAGATTGGTCATCTGCCCTTTCCATCTCATGAGCCCACACCTCAGGGATGAGGTGGAATCAAGCCCAGGGGTGACTGAAACCACCTTTTATAAATTAATAATGGGGTGCAAGGTGAGAACTGTGGTAGGGGCCTAAACTCTACAAAGGCACAGGCATAGTTAAAAATAACGATAACCAGCCATTGTCCCCTAGTTTGCTTGCCTATAATTGCTTGTCAGGAGTCACATAGCTGACGGTTGTCAAGACTCTTAACTCTCTCCATAGATACCATCACCTTGTGAAACCTCAGGCCAGCTTTTGAGATATGCTCCAGACCCTGCATTCCAGCTGACCCACCCAGACCAGTGGCCCATAACAAGGAACTGACTCAACTGGTATTGCAACCCCGCTCAAGAACCAACTCAGCAAAGGGAATTTCTACACACCTTTGGTTCCACCCCAAACCCAGCCAATCAGCAGACCCAATCGCCTAACCCTTTGCCCACCAAACTATCTTTAAAAACCCTTACTCCCAAATTCTCAGGGAGACAGATTTGAGAAACTGTTCCCATCTCCTCACTTGGTGCTCTGTGATATTAACCTCTTTCTCTGCCACAACTCTGGCCGTCTCAGTGTAATGGCTCTTCTCTGTGCAGCAGGCAACACAACCCTGTTGGACTATAACACTACAGGGGAATGTCGTCACGCCTACTTTACTGATGAAGAATCTGAAGCTCAGAGAAGGAAGAGCCTGCAGAGGTCATACAGGCAGTAAGAAGCCTGGCCAGGACCCCATCACTCTATCTGGCCTCAGTAACATCATCCGTCCCCTGGGTCCTCTGAGGAGCTTCTACCAGCCCTTCCAGGCTGCTGCCTTCCCTGATCACTCAGACAGAGCCCATCCCATGCTCTCTGGCCCCAGCTCCGCCCCACAAACCTCTCTCTTTGCCCAGTGTTGAGCTCACTGAGTTGGGGAGGGCTGGCTCTGTGATCACCCCTGAATAGAATCCTCCAATGTTCAGCACAGGGCTGAGTGGGAGGAAGAAAGTACAGATCTGGAACATATGAGAAAGATGGTACCTGAGGATGGTCATGTAGGAGCCACCTGGGGAACAGCCCAGGCCAGGAGAGGGGGGAAAACAGCATTATCAGTCCCCAGAATGCGTCCAGGGTGTGCTGGGGGTAAGATGAAAGGTTAGCAAGGCTCCCAGCCGGCAGCCAGTTTCCCTCCCTAAGCCACAGTTCTGCTCATTAACAAAACAGTGCCATGGCATGCGGGGACCTTGAATTAATGACCTCATCTCCCTTTACCAGCCACACCCATTCTGGTTCAGGCCCCATCCTCCCTCATGGGAGGTCTCACCAGCCTCCTCCCTGCCGCACCCTGAACCTCCATTTCCCACACAGCAGCCTTGAAAGCCCACAGACACCACCTCAGTCGCCTGCTCAAAACCGTGCAGTGGCTTCCTAACCCACTCAGAACAAAACAAAGTCTCCTTTCCAGCACTTTCCCTATGTAGACTTTCCCATCTGTGCTTCCCTGCCTCGTTCCCATCCTTCCCAGCTACCCAAGGAACACCCTTGGACACCACTCAGGCTAACGCTCCGATCCCATCACTCTCTTACGTCGTTCGTTTGTCTGTACCGTCTAGCCTCCTGCCTCCACTGCCTAGGACGGGCCCGACGCGCAGCAGGCGCTCAGCACACAGGTGTTGAATGAATGAATAAAATAAAAGCGGAGGCCGGGGAAGCGGGTAATTTTCGTCCCCGGGCGGCTTCGGTAAGATTCTTTCATTCCCCAAAACCAAGTCCCCTAGGGTCGCGTCACAGCCACCAACCCGACCCCGCGGTGCCCACTCCCCTCTCCGCGCGCGACGGGGCTCGGTGGCCGCCGCTGCTCACCGAGTCTCCGCGGCCACGTGAGGAAAGGGTGGGGTTCGTGGCTGTCACTCCCTGCGCGGCCGCTCCCCCCTACCGGCCGCCGTACGCGCGCAGGCGCCCTGGCGCCTCCTCGTCTCGGCTTCCCTCAGATCCCCCGGACGGCTCCGTGGGCAACCAAGGGTGACCGCGAAAGCCAGTAAAGCCAAGAGGGCCACCTGGTGCGCGCCGGGAGCATTTTTGCCGCCCTTTCCGGACCTCTCACTGGTGTCGCCGCCCCCGGCAGGGAAATTTTTCGCCTTTGGCAGCGTCCGCCCAGAAGAAGCCGGCAGCGCGCCTGCGCAAGAGAGCTTGGCAGCGGCGGCCTGCGCCTGCGCACCAGGGCTCGGCGGCGGCTTGCGCCTGCGCGGCGCGGCGCTGCGGAGACCGTTGGCTCATTTGCATGTCCCCGCCTCGCGCGGCGGCGACGGCGGCGGCGAGTGAGGAGCCTGAGGTGGCGGCGGGGGCGGCTCCGCGCGCGGTGGGCTCCGGGTGAGGCCCGGGACCTGGCGTTGTCGGCGGGTGGGCCCCAGGGTGGGAGGCTCGGGCTCAGCCCTGGGGGCCCCGGGCTCGGTGATGGCGTCGCGGGCTCGGCCTTCAGGCTGCGGCGACGGACGCGTCTCGGCCGGACTGGCCTGAGGGGCGGGCTGCGGCCTCCAGGGCCCGGCACCCCGATTTCTTCGTCCTCGGAGGCCGGGAGAAGGCGAGCCACATCGCAAAGGGCTCGTTGGTTCACCTGTTCATTCATTCCGCCTCAGCCTCGAACGGCCTCTGCTCTTGGGGTGATAACGGCGGCCGGGCGCCGCATCGGGCCTTTTACCTCTTAGGAACTGGTTCAGTCCCCACAGCAGCCCCCGATGTTAGCTTCCCATTCCTTAGGTGGGGAACAGAGGCGCAGCAAGGTTAGGTCATTTCATTTAAACCCGGGTCACCTGACTCGGAGACCCTGCCCTTCTCCAGCACAGAACAAGGGGGCGCCCCGGGAAAAAGGCTGAAGGGGCTTCAGCCCTTCGGTGGGGATGATGGTTATAGGGCATGACCGTAAGGTGGGGACAGGCCTGCCTCTTGAAGTTGGAGGTGGCGGGCCACTGGACTCCTAAATGTTGCTTCTTAGTCTTTTCCTACTCATTTTTCAGGGCTTTGTCTCCGCTACCAGTGCCCTGTTGCCAGGTTCAAGTCCAGGCTGTCTGACCTTGGGTAGGTCACTTATCCTGAGTCCCCTTTTTTCCTCTTTTGTATAATGTCATTCTAAATAGGACCCCCCTCTTCAGGGGGGTGTTGCAAGAAGCAAAGGAGATCATGCAAGGACCTAGCGCAGAGTGAGCTCTGTCACTGGTCTGGGATTCCTCCACTCACTGGTCAAGAGGCTTCTCTCAGAGGAGAAGTAAGTTTTTAGAGCCTCTTTGCCCAGTCTGTGAAATGGGAAAAGAATGATCATGTTTTTCCTACCCACCATTTGCGAGGATGGTGCTCCCATTCTTCCTCTGCTGTTACGGTCAGTTACCGTGTGTTGGCTCAGGATTGCTTTTACTGAGCGTCTTTTAGTGGATTCTGAGAACACAGACTCACAGGTCTGTCTTTCTCCTTCTCAACAAACACACCTGTGAACTTGATGCGTGCAGAGGCCCCCTTAAAGGGATGGGCTTGCCTCTGAAGTACCATGCCAGGATATGGATTACTGCCTTGTTACTTTGAGGACTAGGTGAAATAGAGTGATCGGGGTCTGTGAGCATGAGTTGTAATTCTTAGTGTGTGTGTGTTTTTATTCCTCTCTAACTACAGGTCAAAGAAACATGGCAGCAAGGCGAATTGCTCAGGAGACTTTTGATTCTGTATTACAAGAAAAAGCTAAACGATATCACATAGACCCCAGTGGTGAGGCTGTAGGTGAAACAACTCTTCAGTTTAAAGCTCAAGGTAAAATATTTCTGGGGGGGGAAAGGAGGATGTTTAGGGGCCAGGGCAGGAGGATTTCAGTACTTTGGGCAAACTATGCAACTCTTCTGATCCTTACTTTCCTTATTTGTAATAAGGATTTTGTAATAATGTTTTCTCTGGGCCCACCTGTCTGTCACATCATGGTGTGGAATGTAGTATTGTCATTATCTGGAGCTTCTCGTAGCCAGGCATCCTCCCCACCTAAAGAGAGGTTCTTGAATTGCTCTCCTGGCTCCATCCCACCACTACTGTCCAGGATTAAACTCTTACCAGTTCTCTCCTGGATTATTGCAACAATTTCCTCCTGCAGGGTATCTCTGCTTCTGGCTTCATTCTCCTCAAATCTGCCCTCCGTATAGTTGTTCTCCAGATCTATTAGTGCCAACCTCACTGGGCCACTGCCCTTTTTGGAATCTTGGGGCTCTCCATTGCAGGCTTGCATCCTCAGATGAGTACAGGAGCAGCCAGGTCATAGGGTGTGTGCAAGACAGAAGGGCATGGGGAACTTATAGAGCTGCTGAGTGTAGGTGCTGCCTGCAAACATTCTCTTTGGAAAGTTTTGACACACCGTGCCAGCAGAATCAAAAACGATGCCTACGCAGATTGCAGGATGACGTGAAGGTCCCTCACCTCCTGTCTTGGGCCTTACCTTTCAGTGCTACTGTGCTGCCTGTTGTCTGTGCTTTGAATCCCTCCTGTCCCAGCTCTGCCTGGTTAATTCTCTCAGATACCAAAACTCAGACACACAGGGACCTTTCCCTAGGAAGCCTCAGCAGACCTTGAGGTTGATTTGATTGCACTTCCCCACTCCAGGGAAGTACACTATATACCATTTACTTCTCTGCCCTGGGCCTGCCTCCTCCATGCAGTGCTGCTCCCAGCTGCACCAGTGTCGGGGTATAGATTTCCTCAGTGTTGGCTGAGTAAGTCTGAGTGTTTGGAGTAGGAGTAATAAACATACCTTGGACCTGGAGAAACCAAGGCTCAGAAGTTGTCTCTAGATTTTGAGTTTTCAAAAATTACCTGAATACTACATGTAAACGTTCTCATTATAAAAGATTGGAACAATTAAAAAGTAAAGAGGAAATTAAAAGTTTTCTTAACTGCTTTCTTATGCTTCAGAAGTAACTGTATCTGTGGTGTTTTGTGCATTTTTCAGTACTTTTATGATTCATTTACATAATTCGGAATACTTAGGTGTTTATGTAGATGAAGATTTAAGTCTTGGTTTAACTTTACCTGGGGACTCAAGAGGTAACATATCTTAGTTACCTCAAGAAAGATTAGGGGGAAGGAATAGGAGACTAGAAACCTAGCAGGAAGCTAGGTGGTTGTAGAACATCTCTGTCACAAAGCTGCATGGTCTGTTGGTCAGCCTTTTTCTGTGTCTGTTCCACTCTGAACTTTCCCTTTTTCTCTTAAACCAGGGTATTTGAAAATTCTGTTGTGCAGAATCCAGCCACCACTCTCTGTCTCTAATACTCCCACCCTAATTATACCATCAGTGCCAATAATCAATACCTGGATTATCACAGCGGATTCCTTGCTGGAACATCCACATCCACTCTCCTTCCCTGCAATCCGTTCTCTACACCATAGCAAGTGAGGTCATCCCTCTGCTCAGAACCCTTCAGTGGCTTTCTGTTTCACCCAGAATGCGCACTAGAATCGTCCAAAGGCCAGGACAGGAGGGTTTTAATACCTTTTTGAAATCCTGATGTCCAGGTCACTCCCCATCCTAATTAATTCGATAAGGTATGGGGAGAGGGTCCCCTGGGGACTCCAGTAGCAGAGTTTGGGAGCCACCTTCCTACCACTTTGCCTCTCGTTCCTTCTGTTCCCTTCTGGCCACATTGGCCACCTACTGGTCCTACTTCAGGGCCTTGTCCTCATGTCCTCTCTGCCTAGAAGGCTTCCGCTCACAACCAGATGGTCTAGCCCCTCACACCAGGCTGCTGCTGCCATATTGTCAGAGCTACTGTCCTTGACCAGTCTGTCTAAAAATGGCATCAGCTGGGTACAGTGGTACATGCAGTGGTACATGCCTGTAGTCCCAGCTACGGGAGGCTGATGCAGGAGGATCACTTGAGCCCAGAAGTATGAGGTTGCAGCGTGCTACGATCATGCTTTGAATAGCCACTGCACTCCAGCCTGGGCAACATAGTGAGACCCTGTCTCTCTAAAAAATGGCATTCCCATCTCATGTTTCCACCAGCTTGAATTTTTTTTCTTGGCACTTACTTGCACCTGATATATTTTTATGTCTGGCTCCCTCAACTGAGAAGTCTGAGAGAGGTCTCCTTTCCTTGCTGTAATTTCATGGCCTACTGTCTAAAGTTGCCCGCACAACATACGTACTCAATAAGTACTTGTTGAAGAAATGAACTTGCATTTACACAGGACTTTGGTTTCCTTTGGCCTCTTAGCCCATTACTACCTTCTGGCACCTCTCTTTCCCTTTTCATTTGATTTTTTAAAACTAGGTGATAGATTCTGATTCAAAAGCTAGGAAGTTAGAAGGGCACTCCATGAGAAGTCCTGAGGCCTACTGTTTCCATAGGCCCATACTTCAGTTCTGTTCCTAGCTTCTTACAGTTTCTCTGTATGTAAATAAGCAAATGCAAGTACGTTTCCCCTTTTCTACACCAATGACAAAAATAGACACTGTTCAATTTCCATCATGGCCTCCCTTGATATGGCTTATTTAGCTCTTGCCTTCCCTCTTGCCTGCTTGGGTCTTTGTTTTTTCAGCTCCAGTGAGGGGGTTGATTAGCCTGGCAGACCTTTTTAAGGGATTGATTCGGCCAGCCTTGGGTCTGCTGTTGTGGGTACTGTCAGCCGTGGCTCCAGCCTTATGGTGGCACTGTGGGCGGGGAGTTGAAGGTGGCAGCCTGTGTAAAACCTGTCTGCTGTGAGATAGAAGTAGAAACACAGAAGCATTCCAGCTGCAGTAAAGTCCAGGTTTTTGGGGACCGAACACCCTTCCTTCGGTCTAAAAAAGGGATTATAGGCCAGGTGCAGTGGCTCACACCTATAATCCCACCATTTTGGGAAGCCCAGGCAAGAGGATCGCTTGAGGCCAGGAATTCAATACCAGACTGGGCAACATAGCGAGACTCCGTCTCTACAAAAAATAAGAAAATAATTCGCCAGGCATGGTGGTGCACGCTTGTAGTCCCAGCTACTCAGGAGGCTGATACAGGAGGATTGTTTGAACCCAGAAGTTCGAGGCTGCTGTGAGCTATGATTGTGCCACTGCCCTCCAGCCTGGGCTACAGTGAGACCCTGTCTCTAAAAAAAAGAAAAGAATTGTAAATTCAGATGGCCGTAGAGTCAGGGTAGGGGATCTGAATGAGTGAGGGACACTGGTGACAAGTTGGAGAGTCCATGTCTCACCTATGGGGCAGCTATTGCCCAGCTTGGGCGGACTATCAATCAGGGCAAAGGTAGGCCCCCCCCAGTGCTTGTAGCTCTGTTTGTTTGTTTTTCTCTTTTTTTTTTTTTAAAGAGAGGAGCTCAAATGATCCTCTGCTTCCGATTCCTAAGTAGCTGGGACACCAGGCATGTGCCACCATGCCTGGTTCATTTTTAAATTTTTTTATAGAGATGGGGCTTTGCTATGTTGCCCAGGCTGGTCTCTAATTCCTGGCCTCAAATGATCCTCTCACCTCTACCTCCCAGAGTGCTGGGATTACAGGTGTGAGCCACCGCACTCGTCCAGTCTTCAGTTTTAACAAGAAGTCAATCCAGATTTTTAAGTGACACCACACACATTTCAAATGTTGGCAACAAATACGAATTGGCAAAAAGCACTCAAGCATATAAAGCATGTCTGCTGGCTGGTGGTTCATGGACCAGCTGTTTGCAACCACTGATTTAAGGTACCTTTTATATGTTTTTTTTTTTTGGATCGTTTATTTCAGATCTCTTAAGGGTGGTCCCAAGATCCAGAGCAGACATGTATGATGACGTTCACAGCGACAGCAGATACTCCCTCAGTGGATCTGTAGCTCACTCTCGAGACACGGGGAGAGAAACCTTGAGAGGTGATGTATTTCCAGGGCCTTCCTTCAGATCGAGCAACCCTTCCATCAGTGATGACAACTACTTTCACAAAGAATGTGGCCGGGATCTAGAATTTTCCCACCCTGACTCCCGGGACCAGGTTATTGGCCACCGGAAATTGGGACATTTCCGTTCTCAGGACTGGAAATTTGCGCTCCGTGGCTCTTGGGAGCAAGACTTTGGCCAGTCAGTTTCTCAAGAGTCCTCTTGGTCACAGGAATATAGCTTTGGTCCTTCTGCAGTATTGGGGGACTTCGGCTCCTCCAGGCTGATTGAGAAAGAGTGTTTGGAGAAGGAGAGTCGGGATTATGACGTGGACCATCCAGGGGAGGGTGACTCTGTGCTCAGGGGCAGTGGTCAAGCCCAGGCCAGAGGCCGAGCTCTAAACATCGTTGATCAGGAAGGTGCCCTCCTAGGAAAGGGGGAGACTCAGGGCCTGCTCACAGCTAAGGGCAGTGTCGGGAAACTTGTCACACTGAGAAGTGTGAGCACAAAAAAAGTACCTGCTATAAATCGTATTACTCCCAAAACTCAGGGCACTAACCAAATCCAGAAAACCACCGCCAGTCCCGATGTGACCCTGGGGACAAATCCAGGGACAGAAGACATCCAGTTTCCCATTCAGAAGATCCCTTTGGGGCTGGATCTGAAGAATCTTCGGCTCCCCAGAAGAAAGATGAGCTTTGACCTCATAGATAAGTCTGATGTTTTTTCAAGATTTGGTGTAGAAATAATCAAATGGGCAGGATTTCACACCATAAAAGATGATGTTAAATTTTCCCAGCTTTTCCAGACTCTCTTTGAACTCGAAACTGAAACTTGTGCTAAAATGCTTGCCTCATTCAAATGCTCCTTAAAACCAGAACACAGAGATTTTTGCTTTTTTACTATCAAATTTTTAAAGCACTCTGCTTTGAAAACACCCAGAGTTGATAATGAATTTTTAAACATGCTTCTAGACAAAGGTGCTGTGAAGACCAAAAATTGCTTTTTTGAAATCATAAAGCCCTTTGATAAGTATATAATGAGACTTCAAGACCGTCTTCTGAAGAGCGTCACTCCTCTGCTCATGGCCTGCAATGCCTATGAGCTGAGTGTCAAGATGAAGACCCTCAGTAACCCCCTGGACTTGGCTGTTGCCCTAGAGACCACCAATTCTCTCTGCCGGAAGTCTTTGGCTCTTTTGGGACAGACATTCTCCTTGGCCTCTTCATTCAGGCAAGAGAAAATCTTAGAAGCCGTCGGCCTCCAAGATATAGCTCCCTCTCCTGCCGCTTTTCCAAACTTTGAGGACTCAACTTTGTTTGGTAGAGAGTACATAGATCACCTGAAGGCCTGGCTGGTTAGCAGCGGGTGTCCCCTCCAGGTCAAGAAAGCTGAACCAGGACCCGCACGAGAGGAAGCGAAAATGATTCCTCCTATGAAACTAGAAATTCAGGCCAAGGCTCTGAGTGGTCTGAGTGAAGGTAAGGAAAGCAGCAAAAGTTTCTATTTGTTGTTTTTGTGTTTTTTGGTAATGTCTCCTATTTGAGATTTTTTACACAGAACTTCTTTAGCCAATTGGGAATAAATCAGGATTTTAGTAGAAAACTCACATTGGCCAGTATGTATGTCTGCCATTCATTTTGTGAATGTATGTTAGAAATCTTCTGTTTGCCACAGAAGTCTTTAGACACTTCGAGGTTACAGACTCCTTAGGCAATCTGACGGAAAGCTGTGGCCTTTGCCAGGAAAAATGCATATATCTTCGTACACAATTTCTTTCTTGGAGGGTTATGCCTTCCTGCAGCCAAGGTTAAGAACCCCTGCTCCAACATGTCCCCACGGTGTTATTACAAGGGAGAAGAAACCCTGGACACTCTCTGAGGAGTCCTCAGGGTCCGAAAGAAATCACAAAAACTAGTCATTCCTGAGCTGAGTGTGGCTGTGAGTGCCTCTGAGCCCAGCTGCTCTGGAGGCTGACTCAGGAAGATCCCTCCAGGCTAGGAGTTTGGGCTGTGGTGTGCTGTAACGGCACCTGTAAGTAGCCACTGCACCTCAGCCTGGGCAACACAGTAAGACCCTGTGCTAGAATCAGGGGGACACTGGGGAGGCCCCAGCCAAGCCTAGGGAGTTGGGGAGGCCATGTTTGAGTTGTGTTAAGGGATGTGCAGGGACCAGCCAGGTCATTCCAGGAGGTGAAGGTACCTTTTCACCCCACTTACTTTTCTTTTTTTCCTTCTCTTTGCACTCACTTGGGACCACTTACTTTTCTAGATTGGCTAAAGTCGACAGATCACTTAGGTACATTTTGTGGACTTTCTAGAGAAGAGAAAAGGCCAAGGAAGAGGAGTAGAAACAATGGGCCATTTGGTTTCCCTTTTCCCTCCCCCTTAGCTCCCAGAGTGGATGCTCTCACAGCCCAGACATCCCAGAGGTCATGAGCACACAGTAGCCATGTTTCCGTCTCTTACTCCCTCGATTTCCCCCAGCATGGTTTTTAGTTTGCCCCCAGCCCAGTGGGGAAGTCTTATTTATCCCTGACTTTCTTGGCTCATTCACTGCCCTCATGGAGCCCCGACTATACCAGGCACTGGATAGGTCCCACTGCATATGGGTGGGCACACCTCCTCCCGGAGAGGGTTCCTTCCAGAAGCAGGCTCAGGGCTTCAGGACCTTCCTCCTCACACCCTGCAAAGTGATAGGGTACTGAAAAATACTGTATGAAGGAGGAAAACATCACCCCTAACCTAAAGTGGCTCCCCACCCTCCCACAATCTTGTGATATTCCCAGATGTTCCTGCAGCTCCTGATGTGCTAGACTGAAAATACTACTGTCTCTTCTTTTAGGTGATCGTCCAGAGTCCCTCTTCTGTGTTTCTACAGCATTTTCTATGTCATGATAGTGCCCTAACATAAATTACCTCACCTTTCCTTTGATGTCGGACCCATGCTGCCTTTTACTAGAGGCTTCTGAAGCCAGACAGAGCTGGGTTCACATGTAATTGGCATCCACAGGCCTAGGCTCTGTGTCTGGGTTGCTGGCAACAGACATCATGAGGCTGTCTCCCCCCACCACCATCACTGCTGCCATTCCCGTTAGAAACGCCAGGACAACATCTTTGGTTGAGTATATTGGTTATTACCATTAGTTTTATTTTTTATTTTATAATTCTCCTTTAAAGGATATATCCTCAAGAATAGAATTGCTGGGCCAAAGCTGTGACCCCTTTTCTGGTCCTTACTTTTGGTCATCGTAGCTAGAGATGACCAAATTTGCAGGGATCCCCAAATTTCATTATCTTGGGAAGCTTCTGACTTTGAACCTTAGATACTTTTGTATAATTGTGTAAAACTAGCAGGTCTATAAAAAGAGACCCAAGGAAGAAAACGGCAATTTCATAGAGCACATACTTGTAATGACATGACAGCCGAAGGAGTGACCTCCCTGTGTGAGGAGCTCACGTTGGTGTTAGAATAAGCTCAATGCTGCAGCCCAGACATGGGCCAGGACAGGATCATGCAGTCATTCACAGAACAAACTGGAGAATCTCTTCACTTCAACAGAGAGTCTCTTCAACGGTAATTTTAATTGAGTGACTGAACAAATAGACCATTCCGTGCTATTAAAACTAGCAAATATCAGGAAACTAAATAATCTTATCACTTGAGGAAACATGCTCTTCTGTGTTGCTGGTAATATAAATTCAAACAGTCATATTAGAGGGATTTTACTCTTGAAAAAATGTTTTTCTTTTTATGTATTCAACAGATATTTTCTGTGAACACCTAACTATTGACCTTTTTTTTTTAATTAGAAAATTTTTTTGGTAAATTTATAGATAATTTCCTGGGGTTTTTTTTTTGAGACAGGGTCTTGCTCCGTCACTTGGGCTGGAGTTGCAGTAGCTAGGACTATAGTCCTAGCCCAAGTAGCTAGGACTACAGGTGTGCATTAGCACGCCCGGCTAATTTTTCTTTTCTCCCCTCCCCCTCCCCCTCCCCCTCTCCCTCTCCCTCTCCCTCTCCCTCTCCTTTCGACAGACAGGGTCTTGCTCTTGCTCAGGCTGGTCTCGAACTTCTGGCCTCAAGCGATCCTCCTACCTCAGCCTCCCAAAGCGCTAGGATTACAGGCATGAGCCACTGCGCCTGGCATATATATACATTTTCTGATCATAAAACAAATGTATGTTTATTTTTTAAAGATAAAGCACAAAGAAAATGAAATCCATGCTAAATCTATGTCCTATAGGTAAACTCTGTTACCATTATGGTATATGTTCTTCTAATTCTTTTTTCTATGTGTCCATATTTATGTATTTTGTCTTCCCACCTTTATATTGAGAATAATAATCTAGATACTTTTTTAATGTATTTATATCTAGATACATTTTACACCTTTATATTTTCAAATTTAATGCTATGAACATTTAGGTTATTACATACCGTGATACATGAAAATGATATCAAATTGCTATATATCATTTCCTTTGCTAGAATATATACATAAATTGCTCTGTCCAGTTATCATAAGCTGTGACTGTTTGTCCTGTGGTCATGCCGTTATATTTTTTAAGAGGAGATTTTGCATGTTGGTTTCTAGAATAAAATACTGTTTTCCTCTTTTCAACACTGGTGTCTTGAGAATGAGGATTTCAGCTGTTGGTGCCTGGTTGGGTTCAATGCTAAGCCCCCAACTCACTGTTCTGGTCTTCCCAGGACCCAAGTTTGGCATATTTCTCAGTAAAGCTATTCTGTGTGTTCCAGTGGTCCCCCAACGAGCAGATCACAAGGTGGTTGACACCATTGACCAGCTTGTTACACGTGTTGTCGAAGGCAGCCTGTCTCCCAAAGAGAGAGCTGTTCTCAAGGAGGACCCTGCTTACTGGTAGGTCTTTAAATGTCCAATCCACAAACCCCTCCCACAGAGCCTGTGGGGAAGTGTGAGTCGTACTGATGCTGTTGAGAGCAGAGGGTGGGATGTTTATTTTGAGTAGTAGTGTCTTCTGGCAGGAAGAACAAAAGGGTGGGTCAGATTTACCTGGGTTCATTTCAATCTTTTTATATATTCAGCAGATATTTTCTGTGAATACCTATTAACCTTTTTTTTTTTTAATTAGAAATTTTTTTGGTAAGTTTCCATAAATTTCTGCTGCAGACCAATGGCAGGCCAGCTGGGTGGGTGGCCTTCTCTCTCCTGTGAACGCATCTCAAAGTCCCTGCTGTGCTATTTTAAGGTGCAATGAAATGTGCATGCAAAGAGCAGGGAGTAAGAGGAATAAGTAATACATCACAGCCATTGTTTGCCGTTCATTTCTAATATTGTTAAACTGTTGTTGTCTTTTGCTTTACTACCTATTCCTGTGACTAGAACAACTTTTTTAAATTACTGTTTACATCCTAAATATAATACTTGATTATTAGAGCACGTGAAGAAGAACAGAAAGTAGAGGAACTCTCCTGTTTGCCGACGTCCGCTGACATTTTCATGTATTTGCTTCCAGTCTTTCTGCTCACCATGGGCTGTTTGGATTTTTTCCCTTTTTTAGAGATAGAGTCTTGCTCTGTTACCCAGGCTGGAGTGCAGTGGTGTGATCATAGCTCATTGCAGCTTTGAACTCCTGGGCTCAAGGGATCCCCTCCCCTTAGCCTTCTGAGTAGCTAGGGCTATAGGTGCACACTACCATGCCCAGCTAATTTTAACAATTTTTTGTAGAGATGGGGTCTTGCTGTGTTCCCTGGGCTGGTTTTGATCTCCTAGCCTTAAGCAATCCTCCTGCCTTGGCTTCCCAAAGTGCAAGAATTACAGGCATGAGCCACTGCGCTCAGCCTGGATTTTGTTTTTAACATAGTTGTGATTATACTGTGATAGAAAAGATCCTACTCTTTTTAGTAATGTGAGGAAATGCTTGTTTTACCTACTCTTTGTAAACATTATTTTAGACAGCCACAAACACTAGTTTGTAGGGTAGGTGGTCAGTTTACTTAGCCATTCTTCTCTTACTAGACTTTTAGAATGTTTTTAATTGTATGCTGTTTTAAACTGTGTCAGTAAATAGCTTAATGCATCACATTTTCTTGCATGTTTAAGATTATCTCTATATTAGATGGCTAGGAGTGGAAAATTAAAAATTTAACTTTTTTAAATTATAAAAGTGGCATGTGCCCTTTGTAAAAATAGAGAAAAGTAAAAAGGCAAAGATGCAGTCACTCAGAGCTCTGCCACTTTCCCCCACAGTGTGTACTTTAGATTTGTGTCCTGTGACTGTCAGTTATCATAATTGTCCTTATCATCAGTGGTTGCATAAGATTCCATTGCACACAGGTACCATACCTTACTCAACCATTGCCCATTGGTGGATTCCTAGGTCATAGCCAGTTTTTCCCCACTATAAATCACATTATGATGATCAATGTTTTACCTGTATTTGTGTCTACATTTCTGGTGGTTTATTAGGATAATATCTGGGATCGAAATTGCTGGGTTAAAGGTCTTATTAGAGTCTTTTGATCTGCATCAGTATTTCTCAGCTGCAGCATTATTGACACTTGGGACTGGATCACTCTCTGTCATGGCATAGTTGTCTTGGACATAGGCTGTGTAGCAGCATCCCTGGCCTCCATCCCTCAGATCCCAGTAGACTCCTCTACTTGTAACAACCAGAAATACCTCCAGACATTGCCTGATGTCTCCTCGGGGGCTCAGAGTTACCCCCAATGGGACCATTGATCATTTTTTTGTTTTTTTGGAGACCAAGTCTCATTTTGTTGCCCCAGCTAGAGCACAGTGGCATCATCATAGCTCACTGCAACCTCAAACTCCTGGACTCATCCCCTGCTTTAACCTCCCAAGTAGTTGGGACTACAGGCACACACCACCATGTCCAGCTAATTTTTCTATTTTTCTGTAGACACAGGGTCTTGCTCAGGCTAGTCTCAAACTCCTGACCTCAAGTGATCCTGCCGCCTCGGCCTCCCAAAGTGCTATAATTACATGCATGAGCCACTGCACCTGGCCAAGACCATTGATCTTTACCATCAGATATTTTCCATGGGTAATTTGTACCGATTGACACTCCTGCTGCCACTTGGCAGGTTCAAAATTGTACCCATACTGGACTCAGTATTCTTGCTGTTGTAATTACTAAAGATGCTTGAAAGGCATTAATATCCATGTAAAAATAGGAGAGCTTTGTTCCTACCCAGTGTGATTTACCAGGGGGAGGGTTAGAGTTTGTTGTGGTTTTATTTTTACAAAATTCTTGAGTTTATCTGGATTATTTTCATGTAATAAAATGAGGTAGACATATAACTTAAAAGTTAAAAATCCCCCAGATAACCTAATTGTGCCAGCATCATTTATTGAATACTTTTAATTTAACAAATACTTGTGCTTTCTGTGTACTTGCTAGCTTTCTAAGCATGTTACTCATTTAACCACTAGCTGGCTGAATCCTCATAAGTTACATAGCAGGTGAATGCTACCAAAAAGAAAGAAGATAGAGAAATATTAGTTCAGGCCAGGTGTGGTGGCTCATGCCTGTAATCCTAGCACTCTGGAAGGCCAAGGTGAGAGGATTGCTTGAGCTCAGGAGTTCAAGACTGGCCTGAATAAGAGTGAGACTCTGTCTCTACTAAAAATAGAAAAATTCACCAGGCATGGTGGCATGTACCTGTAGTCCCAGCTACTCAGGAGGCTGAGGCAGGAGGATCACTTGAGCCCAGGAGTTTGAGGTTGTAGTGTGGCACGATGACGCCATGGTACTCTAGCCAGGGCAACAGAGCGAGACTCTGTCTCAAAAAAAAGAAATATTAGTTCAGACAAAATAGACATCAAGGAGAAAAGCATTACAACGGGCAAAGGAGGTTTTTATTAAAAGGGAAAGGCATCACAAACATAAATAATGAATCTTGATGCTTGAACTACACAGCTTAGAACTATGTAGATAAACAACATTTAGAAATAGTTTAAATCTGAAACCATACAAAGAAGAATGGATGAGTCCATCACCATAATAGGAGATGTGAATGTTTCTCTGGAATGGGCAGATGATGTAATCCAGATAAGGCCGTGGTAGGTTTAATAACACAGTGAAAGAGCATAAACAGAGATAACCTGCTAATATTTGTTGAACAGTTAATGACTGCTAGGAAGTGTTCACAGCGTTTGCCTCATGGTGCAAGCATATAAGTCTCACAACAACATGATGAAGTAGCTACTTCTTATCATCCTCCCCATCTTACAGATGGAGAAACTGAGGCACAGACAGGTTTACAGCTTAAGTGGCTATGCTGAGATTTGACCCCAGCAGGCTGGCTTGTGAATGTTCTTGTGATGTTATGTTCTACTAGAACTTGGGGACACAGATTTGAGGCTGACATTCTCAGACTGCCTTTAGCATCAGAGCCATCCAGGGGAAAGGGAATCGGTCAGAGCCATGGGTGACTGGGGTTGTGAGGTCACCTGGCACTGACTCTGCTCTCTACCCTTGATGAGAAGTTTGCTGGCCCTGGGTGGGCCTGCATTTGACTTGAGAACCAGAGCACCAATGTTGGTCAACATTCTCTTAATCAGGAACTATTGCTTGTTCGGGTGCAATCTTGCAGGAGGCTGCTGTCAGTCTAACAGAGTGGCCAGGGCAGCCGTGGAGCCAGCCGCATCCTGTTTCCTCAGGTCCAGCCAGATCTTGACAATGTCAGCAGGAGCTTTAGTACGGAGCTGCCTGCCAGGGACACCAGCATCACGCGGTGCTGCCAGCACCCTACAACACACGGCCACCTCGCTTCCATTCGGCTTCCATGTCATTTGTAATCTGGAAGTTCATCTAATACCTAATGTGTGGTCACTTAACATCAAGCAACCTGAAACCCACCTGAAATACTGCTGTACTCACCAAACAATATTCCTTCTTCTTTAACACAAACTGAAATCGAACATTCACAAAAGTCTGTTATGTGTAAGAACACAGAGAAAACCATAGCACATCCCCAACTGGGGCCACATTGTGCAATGCAACAAGCTAGAAATCAGCAGCAACCAAAATAAAAGACGCTTCTGTTAACAAATAATTTTTGAGTGAAAGGTAATTAGAGCTGAAATTAGAAACAATTTAGAGGGAAGTACAGGGAGAACACTACATACCAGATGTCTCTGTAACAATACTTAGGAGGAAAAGTGAGTTAGGTGCATTTATTAGAAATAGAATGGAAGTAAAAAGCATTCAACTTATGAAGCTAGAAGGAACATGATGACAAAAGTTCAAAGACATAAAAAGGGGAAGGATTAGCAGATAAAAGAAGACGCTAATGAAATTAAAAACAAAATGATGTTCTTTGAGAAGAAAATGTATACACATATATAAATAACATGAAAATTCCCCTCCACACCTCTTTCTATTCCATTCTCCACAGCTAATTATTAAGTTTGCCTTATTTTCTTTCAATCTATGTGAAAAAAGCAAATATACCTGGAGTGGATATGTACACAGAGCAGTTTCAGATGATACATATTGATGTAGGTCTCCTCGCCATTTTCTCTGGGTATGTTACGGATTTTTACATTAGGAGATATAGCTCAACCTTCTCTTTTCTGTATGGTTTTCTCATCATGACAACTGTGTCATAAGATTTCATGCCTGGGCACAGGCTCCTCAGTTACCGCTCTCTTATGGGTCCCATCACACCTGCCTCAGTGAGGCAGTTGAAAGCTCACCGAGTGCTCCGCCTGACTGGGCCGTTTGAAGGGTGTCATTTCTGCATGCCAGGGTGCTGTGGCTCCAGGGTGACTGGTTTGTGTTATGAGGTGACCATTAGCTGAGCTGTGCTCTCCCTCATGGCTGCTGATGATGGAAATCAAGGAGGAACTCAAGTACTGCTCAGTCAGAACTCCTGATTGCACTGCAGCCAGTCTTGGCAAGGTGGGTATTCTGGGTCCTCAGTGGGCAGCAGAGGACAATGGGGAGGCCACCACTTAAAACGGCTTTGTGGTTGCAGTAACAATTTGGTACGTGGTAGTAATTTTCACAAATGTCCTGTTATACCTATTTTGTCATATAGGTTTTTGTCTGATGAAAATAGTCTGGAGTATAAATATTACAAGCTGAAGTTGGCAGAAACGCAGCGGATAAGCCAGACCTTACCAGGAGCTGATCGGAAGCCAACCTCAGCAGAATGTGCCATGCGGGCCATGCTGTATGCCCGGACAGTCCGCAGCCTCAAGAAGAGACTGCTTCCATGGCAGCGTCGGGGGCTCCTCCGTGCACAAGGTCTCCGGGGGTGGAAGGCAAGGAGAACGAGCACCGGGACCCAGACCCCCTTGTCCTTGGGCACAAGGCTGAAGCACCACAGCCGGCAGGCTCCAGGCCCCTTGCGGGCAAAGCCATCACTGCCAGACAGAAATGAAGCTGTGAAGGATTGCCCACCAGACCCTGCTGGACCCTCTGTTTGTGACCCCACCCCAGAAACCTCAGGCCCATCCCCCAGGCCAGCAGGAGTGGACATCTCTGAAGCCCCTCGGACCTCCTCTCCCTGCCCATCTGCTGATGGTGGGTGCTCACTTCTGCCCCCCTCCCCTGGGCCCCAGTTCTAACTCTCCCATGTCCAGGGTCTCTCCAAAAGCCAGGGGCTCAGCAGTCTGGGTGAGGCAGCAGCTACAGGGACCTGGCCAGGACAGGTGCGTGTGGAGGCACTTCTCTTGCCTCCTTGAGAGGGTCACATGTGAGTCCTGCTGCCCCTTCCTCCTTTCTTGTGCGTGAAGCTGGCAGGAGGTGCTGCCCACGGCCTCCGTGCTCCCCGACAGGGTCCTGGTGCTGGGGCAGTCATGCCTTGTGCCTGTTGCTTGGGATCCCATGTCTCACCGTGGCTTTGCCTCCCTTGACATTTCTCACATTCTACCTCCTCTTCCCCAAGGTCTCTTCAGGGTTAGTTGACCTGCAGCACTTCTTCTGAACTGACTTAACCCCTTCCGTTTCTCCTGGTCACCTTAGCCATTACCTTCCCTTGGTACAGTAGCCCTGACCTCTGACCTCTGACCTCTGACCAGCCCTTCCCACTTAGCACTAGGTGGGAATGGAGACGGCAAAGAAATCTCCACAGTGGCTGCCTTCTCTAGCTGTTGCTGTGTCACAAGCCACTCCAAGCTGAGGCTTAAAACAGGTGTCTGGTACTGCTCTGAGTCTGCTGGCGGCGGGGGCATCTGCTGATCTGGGCTGCACATGTGTCTGTGGGCAGTGGCAGGTTCTCTGGGTCTGTCAGCTGAGGTAAGGGGGTGGCTGAGCCATGAGCTTGTCTCCACCCCCAGCAGCCAGCCCGGGGTTGTTCACCTGACGGTTGGGGTCGGGGCTCCGGAAAAGGCAGTGGAGATGCTTGAGACCACTGAGGCCCAGGCTTGAAACTGGCAACTGGCACTTCCACCACATTCTATAGCCAGTTCGAGTTCCACGGCCAGCCCTGATTCAAGGGGGGAGACACAGTCCATCTCTTGCTGGACAGAGCTACAGAGTCACATGGTGATGGGTGGGGAGACACTTGGGGCCATCTTTATAATCAGCCTCCACAGTCCCACAACGTTCATGAAAGAAGCAGCAGCTCAGAAGCGATGCATGACAGATGCTTTATGTTTTATAGTTGACGTGAAAACAATGGAGACTGCAGAGAAACTGGCCAGATTTGTTGCTCAGGTGGGACCAGAGATAGAACAATTCAGCATAGAAAACAGCATCGATAACCCCGAACTGTGGTACGTACCCCCTGGGTCTCATCACACCCTTTTGATGTGAGTGTATTCACCCCACAGGCATGTCCTGAGGGACTGCAGGGCAGCCCGGCCCACGCACTCCTGCCTCAGGAGTTACACCAGGGAGAAGTCACAACTTCACTTCAGCTGTGCCAGGGCTGTGAGGGAGAAGCGTCTCTTCTGAGGGATCAGGGGGGACCTGCCCTCATCGGGGGCATCAGGAAAAGCCTCCCTGGAGGGATGTTTCATCTGCATCCAAAAGCCCAGTCACAGTTGTCCAGGGGAAGAGAAAGAGATGAGGATTTCCTGCTCGTGTGGCGATAATTGGTCCTTGCTTAGATCTGGACAACAGGCACTTCCACACAGTGGTGGCGTGGCGTCCTCATGCTGGGAGTGGACACCCTTGCCCTTTCCACTCCTCCAATGAGCGGGGGCCGTCAGCATGTAGCCTGTAGACAAGAGAACTGGGGCTGGGAGCCAGCTCTGTCCCTGGGGTTCTTCCCAAGGGTGACGTGGAGGCGCCCCCTCAGAGAGAGGCTGCCTGGGGGGCCACGTGTTCCTATTACTGAGCCATAGCCCTGCTGGGGGCCACTGGACTCCTTGTGCTGTTCCCAACTTGCTGGAGAGTTGTGTTTTAGTCTAATTAAAAATACAGTTGAAAACTTAACATTTCTCAGAGCATTTATGGGAAATGATGGAACATAGCCTTCTGCTTATTTGGGACCTGACTGCGTGAGCTGAGCACTGTCCTCTTCTGCAGCCATCCCAGTGTGTGTGTTTGGAGGTGGGCAGGGGTCCTCACTGTGGCCTTCATCTGTGTTTCTCTGAGGTCTAATGGCGCTGAGCATCTTTGCATGTGTTTGTGTGCTTTCTGTATGTCTTTAGTGAAGTGTCTAGTCAGGTCTTTCTCAGTTTTATTATTGGGTCTTTTATTTACTCATTAATGAATTTTGAGGGTTTATTTCAGATTCTCGATATAAGTCCTTTAGAGATGTGTGATTTGTAGATATTTTCTCCCAGCCTGTGACTTCTCATTCTAGCAGTGTCTTTGGAAAGCAGAAGTTTGTAATCTTTGACCTTTTCTCTATTGGGATTTTGGACTTTTTCTTTCTTGATTTTCAGGAGCTCTTATCTGTGCCATGGTTGCCTATATTTCCTTCTACTTTGTCATTTATCTTTCGCTTTGCTTTTGGCGTGTTTTGCGGTGCAGAAATATTTTATATAGTCATGTTTATCATTTTGTTGTTTTATGGCACCTGGATATTGAGTCATAGTTAGAATTTCCACAAACTCAGCTTATAAAGAGATTTACATATTTTCTTCTAGAATTTGTATGGTTTTGCTTTGTACATTTAGACCCATAGTCTATGTAAGGGTTATTGGGGTGCAGAAGGTACAGCATGATCTCATTTATTTTTCTAAAAAGCTGTCCAGTTGTTCCAGTACCATTCACCCAAAAGACCACCTTTTTTGCAGTGATTTAAGAGGCCACCTTTATCAAATGCAGTGTTTCTGGTGTTTCTATTCCATCCTCTTGGTCTGCCTTATGGACCACTACACTGTTTAACTCTAGAGGCCTTATGGCACCTCGCAGTACTTGGTGGGGCTGGAACCCCTTATTGGTCTTGTTCAGAGTTTTCCCAAACACTCGTTCATATTTATTTTTTTAAAAAAAACTTCAGAATCATCTTGTCCTAATCCAGAAAAATTGCTTTTATTACTAATAAATAATTATGTTTATATGCTAATTGGGGAGGAATTGGCACCTATATGAGGTTGAGTTGCACTCTCCAAGAACAAGGGCTGCCTTTCCTTTGGTCCAGTTGCACTTGGGTGCCTTGAGGAGAGTTTTAGTTTCTCAGACCAGCCACAGCCCCATAGCTGTGGTTAGGGGTCGGGGAGGTCACCAGAATCCTGAGGGGCAGAGAAGCCTCACTGCCATGTTCGTGTAGCTGCAGGCAATGAGCTACCTTGCATGCCTCTGGGGGTGCCTCACAGCTCCTTGGGGCTAGAGTTCCAGCAGTAGCTGTGCACGGACTCCATGTGTCTCACACCTGGGAGTGTAAAAAGAACCAGAGGATCAAAATGGGCACATGGAGGCCCATAGGCCAGTGAAGTAACCAGAAAGGGTGAGGTGGGGCCCAGGCCAGATCTCTATTCCAGCATGTTCCCAGGTTATCCTGTATACCTTGTTCCTCCACCTCTCTCCCCTCCAAAAGCAATTAGGCCTCTTACGTTCCGATTCCTTGTTAAGTTGCTCCTCAAACATGCTATCTCATTGAGAAGCTGCACCATCAAACCATAGCTGTGTAGAAAGAGATCGGGTTATTCATTCTACTCTTTCACCCCCAGCCCCGTTACAGCCATCCCAGGCAGTTTCAGCAAAAAAATATGTTTAGAGATTCCCTCTGGTTAATCAGTGTATTTTGTCTACATCCCAGGTTTCTCCATGACCAAAACAGTGCTGCTTTCAGATTCTACCGGAAGAAAGTGTTTGAACTGTGCCCGTCAATTTGTTTCACGTCATCGCCACTCAACCTCCACACTGGCGGTGAGAGTGCAGATTCTCAGGAGAGCCCCTTAGACCACATGGAAGGGGAAGCAGAATTTGAGGATGAGGCCCCTCAGCAGCAGGCTGAGCTGGAGAGCCCAGAGGCGATGCCTGAGGAGGAGGACGATGATGACGACGATGACGACGACGATGACAGGGATGGGGCAGAGGAGGCCCCTGCAGGGGCCGGCAAGTCCAAGGGCAGCCTCCTTGCCGATGGCCTCCCCGGCGAGACTGCCGAAGATGACCCAGCCGGAGTGCCTGCCTTGTCACAGGCCTCCTCGGGCACCTGCTTCCCCCGGAAGAGGATCAGCAGCAAGTCATTGAAGGTTGGCATGATTCCAGCTCCCAAGAGAGTGTGTCTCATCCAGGAGCCAAAAGGTGAGTGCTCACTTGTCGGCACAGCCACCCCCAGCAGGCTTCTTGGTTGGTGGGCCATGGAAGGTAGTGGAGACATGGCCTGAACAGATGAAGAATGCACCTGCCTTTGGCCCTAGCTCAGCCACACGATTGACCCTCTGGCCCTGGTCATCCTTCCTGCCTCTCATCACACCCACCAGCCTTGTAGGGGACCTCAGTGTTCTGGCAGGACGACACCTCCCCAAAATCCCTCCACTGCCTTCCGTGGCCCACCAACCAAGAACCATACCCCGAGGAGTCTATGGGTGGGTGTGTCCCCAAAGTGGCCAACACAGCATGGGGTTCTCTGGTATTATGGTTTTAATCTTAAATAGTTCTAAAATAGTTTTGCACACCACTCCAAAATGTCAATGTAAGACTCACATGTCTAGTTGGTCTGAAGTCATTGCTCTAAGGAGATGCTTCTTGGGTAGTCTGTGGCCTGTAGTCTCCACATGCTGTTAGGCATTCCTCTTACTGCCCAGATTCCGGAAGGGGCATCCCTAACCTTGGAGCGGGTAGACCTGGGTCATCTCAGCTGTTTCCTGCCACCACCTTATGGGACAGCCAGCCTTCTGAGCCTGTGGAAGGCCCAGGGTAGTGACACTTGCTTCATATCATGACACTGAGGTGGGGGGACACAGAGTGGGTAGTCGAAGGCAGCTGTCAGTGGGACCTGTGGGCTCTGTGCTCTGCCTGCCTTGGTCGTGGAGGCCATCCCCTGCTCTCTGTGGGAAGAGTCACCATTCTTAAGGTACGATTTACCAGCAGTGAAATGCACCCTTTTCAGGTGGACAGTCTGAGGGATTTTGACAAATATGCATAGGCAGGAACCTCCCAGTCCAGCAGGACTAAAGCCCACTTCCAGAAAATTTCTCTTGTCCCTTTGCAGTCCCCTGCCCCCATCCAGCCCTGGCAACCACTGACTGTTTTCTGTGCCTGAGGTTCTGCTTTTCCTAGAAAATGATGGGCTGGCCATGGCACAGGTTGCTCCTTGTGCCATCATGTCTAACCGTGGTGCCTCCCCAAGGTCAGGCCCAGGCTGTGCTTCTCGCGTGCTGCTGCTGCAAACCTGTGCGTGAAGTTGTTGGAGTGAACAGTGCCCATGATGGGACTGCATTAAATAGTCACCTGTGTGTTCTCCGTCACTGAGACGCTCATATTCATAGGCAACAGTGTCTTTATAGTTTTTCCTGCTTTGGAGTGGTCCTCAGGATTGGTGTTTAGAAACCTTGGGGCTGCAATGAATTGCGACTGTTCTGCCATAACCCTTGCATCCTTCAGAACTTCTCGTACGTGGCAGATGGCTTATCCAGTGCTTGTTACATATGTCCTTAGGGGGAAGTGGATTTCTTTATTTCTATGTTAGAAGCTCTCAGTTCTTTGTTTGGGTGGTTGATGAGACAAAAACCAGCCCTGCTGATCTCCCCCTTCATCAAAATGAAAAAATAATATTAACAATAATGTGATTCAGTGTTCTGTATGGAAGTGTGGTTTTTTATGAGAAAGTTCACCAGCGTGAGCAACATAGCAAGACCACATCTCTACAAAAATTAGAAAAATTAGCCAGAGGTGGTGGCGCCTAAAGTCCTAGCTACTTGGGAGGCTGAGGCAGGAGGATCCTTTGAGCCCTGCAGTTTGAGGCCGTAGTGCTCTATGATGACACTGCTGCTCTCTAGCCCGGGCAACAGAGTGAGACCCTATCTCAAAAAAAATAAAAAGAAAGATCTGGATGGACTTTAATTCTTTACCAGTGAATTAGCCACAGATAAACTAGGAGGGTGTGGCATTGTAAGTAGTTCATTTGTTGGAGCAAAATATATTCTTGTGGTCGTGGAAATTAATCCATGTATTGGGTCCTTTGTTATAAATGTGGCAAGTCTTAGGTTTGGATGGACTTTCCCAAAGCAAGGCACACCCCAGTGAGCCCTTCACCATGGCCCAAGCTACCTAGTCTGGGCATGTCTAGCCTCTCAGCTCGCTCCGTGGGTCACAGCCATTCACGAGAGGAGCCGCGGCCCAGCGGCTGCTGTGCAGGACGTAGGGCACCTTCTGCCATCAGAGAGACTGTTAGCCACAACTCTGCAGCACCTCCCGTCTCTCTCTGAGTAATCTGGGGAATGTGTGTCTGTATGCATATACCTCTCTTTTGTCTTCCAGTCCATGAACCAGTTCGAATCGCTTATGACAGGCCTCGGGGTCGTCCCATGTCCAAAAAGAAGGTGAGCTTAATCATTTCTAAGCCCTCACTCAAGATATAGTTGGTCAGAATTTGTTGGAGTTTTAAAGGATGCTTCAGCTTATGATTAAGCTGTATTTCAAACAGGTTTAATGTACAAAACACAAGCAGAGACTTTTCCCTCAGGGACTTTTTAAAATTGTTTGGCCCTTGTCCAAAACATACGAGGGTAGTGATTAGTCCATTAAACAGATAATTGAGGACTGATGTGTGCAGTGGGGTTTGAGAGATGAACAAGATAATGTCTTGGCCATTAAGAAGTTCAAGCTTAGCAGCCCCTAATTGTGCTCTGCTAGCAAGCAGAGCATGGCATGTGCTCATTCATCCATCAGCACCTCCTATGCGCCAGGCCCCAGCTGCCCACCAGGGAGCAGCAGTGAGCAGGGCTGACAGCGACAAGAAAAGGGTGTGACTTAGTCATGGGGGAGCTGTGGGCAGAGAAGCAAGTCAAGGGGAAGGGGAAGAAGGTGGGGTGGGGGCGCCGCTGAGGCCAAGGAAGGTCTCCCTGGCAGGTGATGTTGACACAGGCCTGGAAGAGGTGACAAGAAGCTGTATAGAGATCTGGGGAAGGCATGGCCTGGGAAGAGGCCTGGGACAGCAAGAGGCCTTTGTGACAAGGGTGGAATTGGAGGGACTAGACAGAAGTTAGGCCCCTCTCCTAGGGAGGTCCTCAGGGACCTGTGGCAGAGGTTTGGGCATAAGATGTGGCCACTGTGGTGGAGAGCAGCCTGTGGGGTGGGTCCCAGGCCGAGCAGGGGACCAGGAGGAGGCTCAGACTTAGGGCAGTTGGACCAGGGCATGGGGAGGCAATGAGAAGGGCTGAAGGTGGAGTCCGTGGAACTCACTGGTGGGCTGAGTATGGAAGAGCTAACACCAAGAGTCCAGGTAGCCCCAGGGTCGTCAGCCTGGGCAGTTAGGAGGACAGAGCTACAGTTTGCTGACATGGGGACAGGTGCACTCCAGATGAGCAGGGGCCCACATTGCCGGGTATGGGGGCAGTTGAGCCTGGGCGAGGTCACCGGGGACACATGTAGAAAGACTTTGCAGGTCCTTAGTCATCAAGGAGGAGGGCAGGGAGCCAGGAGAGGTTTCTCTGCTGGTATTGGAGAGTGGTGTTTCAGTGCCCCTCGGAAGAGGTCAGTCTGACCCCAATTACAGCAGGTAGGAGTGACCTTCCTGAGTCAAAAGCTCATGGTCTTGACTGGTGTGCTGGGTTTAAGCTGAGCCAGGACCCAATACCCCTTTGTGTAGCCTGGTTAAGGGCATAGCCAGGTGAGGGGGCAGCTGGGCCTTGGAGTCAGTCACAAACGGGTTCAAGCTTAGCTTTGCCGCCTAGCAGTTTTATAAGCTTGGCACGTAACTCCTGAGCCGCAGGTTTGCTTATGTAAAATGGGATGCCACACCTACCCTGTAGGTAGGAGGTACTGTGAGATTAAACTTAACCCAGTTCCTGGCTGGTGTCCTACAAACACTGTTCTCTCCTTGGGGCTCTGCACCTGTCCTATTTTGCAGGGGGACTGCAGGTGGGGAGGAGGCCGTGGTGGCTGCAACTCTCCTCTGTATACACCTCACGCTGACACATGGGGCACTGCTTTCCTCCAGCTGTCCAGGAAGCCAGACATCAATATTGTTAAACACAAATTGAATGTTCACAAAAATCCTTCCAGGCCAAGCCGGCCCATGTTCCTCCCACTGCATCCCCAAGCAGCCTTCCTGAAGGGGGAGAGGTACAGGCCTGCTGTTTGGGGACCCCTGGCCCCCAACAACCAGCCATTCTCCTGCCTTTCCCACCCTCCATCCCAGGGCCCAGGCTGTGTGTATTTCCCAGGAGGGCCTGACAGATCGCCATTTTTCATCTCAGTCCGCGGGTTCTGCCTCCTCTGTTCTCCGGGCCACTTCCTGTTGGTAAGGGGCCTCCCAGTGCGGCAGCTCCTGTCTGGTGTCCCCTGGCCTGCCCAGATGTCTTTGCATTGCTGTCTGCTCCCCTCCTTAGCCATCCTGCAGAGAGACTTCTGCCCACACCACCTTGCCAAGGCCACCACGTGCCATTGTGAAGGGGCCTCCTGTGTTGAGTGATTCATGCATGCACACACAGATGCGCACAGGTGCACACACACACAGATGCACATGTACACACAAGCATACACACACACAGACACACAGGCGCGTGCACACACAGATGCGCACAGGTACACACACATGCACATGTACACACAGGCGCGTGCACACACAGATGCGCACAGGTACACACACAGATGCACATGTACACACAGGTGCACACACACGGATGCACATGTACACACAGGCGCACACAGATGCACATGTACACACAGGCGCGCGCACACACAGATGCGCACAGGTACACACACAGATGCACATGTACACACAGGTGCACACACACGGATGCACATGTACACACAGGCGCACACAGATGCACATGTACACCCAGGCGCACACAGATGCACATGCACACATAGGCGCACACAGATGCACATGTACACACAGGCGCACACAGATGCACATGTACACACAGGCGCACACAGATGCACATGCACACATAGGCGCACACAGATGCACATGCACACACAGGCACACACAGATGTGCACAGGTACACAGATGCACATGTACACACAGGTGCACACACACAGATGCACACAGATGCGCACACACCGAGATGCACATGCACATACAAGTGCACACAGATGCACATGCACACACAGGCGCACACACACAGATGCACATGTACACACAGGCGCACACACAGATGCACATGTACACACAGGTGCACACACTCATGCACATGCACACACAGGTGCACACACACAGAAGCAGACGTGCATGGAGATTCACACGCACACACTGCTTCTTTATACCTTAGGGGGCACCTCTGAAGGGGCAAAGAGAATTTCTCTTCTCTGAAGCTTAGAGTCTAAGTCTGTCAAAATGAATTGACGATAGGTTAACAGGAAAAAATTGTTAACGTGCATAAGCACAGAAACTGCATAAAACAATATGAATTGAATCATACATTTTATAAAAACGGAAGAAATGATAATACGAAAACTCAAAAAAGGTTGAAGCTAAAATATCCTCTTCATAGGGGAGAGGGCAGGTGGGGGCTGTGGGCAATTGCAGAGGGAAAGCAAATGATTTTAGGAGAGGTGGACGGACCCCGGAGGCAAATGTCTTATAAAGCATTCTCTCTAAGAATGGAATGGGCTGGGAGAGCAGCCACAGGGCTGGGCTCTGGGTGTGGTGGTTAATGTTCAGCCGCCACCTCTGTGATGTGAGTTTTAATTTCTGGTTAATGAAATTCCAGGGAAGGGCTTGAAGGCGCTTGCATTCGGGTTTCTAGGTAGCCAAGGGAACTTCTGAGAGCAGCCTCCCCCGATGCTTGGGGAGAGGCAGGAGGTGGGTGTCAGAGGGAACTTGAGGATGCTGCTTGAGTCCCACATGTTAAAGCACTGTATTTTCGGGTATCGATTTCTGAGCCCTAACACCTCCCTTCATGTCAGTGAACGCTCAGCGCCTTTCCAGGTTGTTTTATCCCCTTCCAGGGTGAGGACACTGAGGCTTCAGGAAACCCTGGGGCCCAGATCCTCCTTGTGGGCACACTCACTCCCTCTTCCCTCCCTCCCTCATGAGTTGAGGTCCTGTGCTCACCTCCCTTCTCCCTGTTGTCCCATGTTCAGGTGGGTGCTGGGCCCCCCAGGCCCTGCCTTTTCTGCCTGGTCTCCTCTGAGCTCCTTTGTCTCCAGAGTGTCTCCCCCATGTGCCTCTGGTGCTGGGGAAGCTGTTTCCTGGGCACCTCAGTGCAGAGGGAGGGAGGCTTGTCGTTTGCTTGAATCATGCCTTGTGAGGCCTGCAGGACAGGATGGGGCAGGTCGCAGAGCTGGTGAGGACTGGCCGCCCCAGGCCCTGAGCTCACAGCACTCAGCACATCCTCCTCCCCCTGGTTCCTGCACACGGGGTCATCCAGCCCTCTCCTAGTTGTGCCCACACTTGTCCCCTGCTTGGACCCCCAGCACCGGCTGCCTTGCTTAATCCTCCTCAGCACCTCCCTTCCTTGCTCTAAAGAGCATGGGAGGCTCTCTCAGTCTCCCCAGGTAGTTCAGTTAATGTCTCAAAGAAAAACATCAAAAGCCAGCATGGTGATACACACCTGAAATCCCAGCTACTCAGGAGGCTGAGGCAGGAGGATCATTTGAGCCTAGGAATTTGAGACCAGCCTGGGCAACATAGCAAGACCCCATCTCTACATAAAAAGAAAGAAAGAAAGAGAAACCTCCTGAGGAGCCAGAAAAAGAAAGAAACACAGGGCAAGGTGCTGGGCTGCCCAGCTAGGTTCCCTCACACAGGGAGTGCCCATGCGCATTTATAAGTGAATGGACAGTCCTTCTGCTAGAGCTGTGCGTGCTCCTCCTCCAGAGGGAGCTGAGCTTCCCTACCACCGGCAGGCCCCTTCTCAGCTACACCAGCCTCAGCAAGGTCTGCTCTGCGCTAGACGCGGACCCCAGCAACCAAGTAGAACCCAGTTCTGGGACAGACAGACATGGAAGGCAGCCAGGGAGTGGATGAAGCAATGAGTAAAGGCTCAGGAAGGGCTCTACCAGCTAATTCTCACCTACCATCTGGCTCCCTCCTGCTATACTGCCTCCAGGCCTGTGCCCTGGTGTCCCCTGCCCTGGGGTGTACCCTCTGATTGTCATAGGGCCACCCTTCTTTATCCAGTCTCCACTCAGGACTCTTCCTACTGACTCCCTGGCCCCAGGACCTGCTATTCCCATACCCAGTTTTTCTCACAGTCTTAGCGCAGGGCTGTAGTGTACCTGAGAGACAGGACCAAGAGCCAGTCACCAGGTTCCAGCCTTAGGAGTGAACCTCAGGCTGGTGGCCTCTGACCTTTAGAAGTGCCCCCCCACCACCCGGGGATGTTTCAGGGAACTGCGGAAGTGACCAAGGCTTGATCCTCAGCATCTGGGAAGTGAGGAGGGCATTTGCCGGGGGTGTGTCCAGGTGCAGCCCAGGACAGACCCTTGCTCCAGGCACTTCTCTGCAGCCCACGCGCCCGGACTCTTCTCTCTCCGCAGAAACCCAAGGACTTTGACTTTGCCCAGCAGAAGCTGACCGACAAGAACCTGGGCTTCCAGATGCTGCAGAAGATGGGCTGGAAGGAGGGCCACGGCCTGGGCTCCCTCGGGAAAGGCATCCGGGAGCCCGTCAGCGTGTACGCAGCAGGCACTTGTGGCCTGGGTGGGCGGGTTCTGGCCTCAGTCCTTTGACCTGCAGCCTGAGTCTTGGTTCCCCTCACATTGAAAATGGCTTAAAGTTGGCAGTTGGGTTGGTTTTTTAACAAAAGGAGTCTTCAGATGAGTAGACCATTTAACCGGCTTCTTGGCCCTGGTCATTTCAGCCACATTTATCATCATCATAAAAGCCAGTGGTATTTCTGGGTAGTTTTAGAACTACTTTCCCTTTTCCAGGAATCCATAAGCAGGCGGCCAGGGTAGGGATCACAGGCCCAGAGTTGCTGAAACCCCGTTAGTAGCATCCAGCAGGCATTTCACTAAAACTGAGCTTAGCCCCTACGGGTGAGGCATTCTGCTGTGATCAGGGCTTCCTGGGCACCCTCAGAAAGCCAGTGCTTCTCCGCGGTGAGTACCCCTCGTTTTCCATGTGAATCCCGTCTCAATGTTCCCTTCTCGGATGTGTGTGCTGTATGTCCCGAGCACCTGCACCTCACAGTGTGCCAGACCCTGCACTCAGGTTCACGACTGACTGTCCATTTCGCTCCTTAGGGGAACCGCCTCGGAAGGGGAGGGGTTGGGTGCCGACGGGCAGGAGCACAAAGAAGACACATTCGACGTGTTCCGACAGAGGATGATGCAGATGTACAGGCACAAACGGGCCAACAAATAGGTATGTGCACGAGCCCGCGCACGAGCACTTCTGCTCCTGCTGACATCCTGGTGCAAAGACGTTTCCCTCTAAAAAGGTGATGTTCCCCACTGCCCAAAAAACAAACGTCGAAACACTACCAAAAAAACAATCACAGAAGTTTGTGAGGGAAACAGAAGGGTCTTTGGCTATGGATGTGTCCCACTTCTCACCTTTCAGGTTTGGTGAAGGAGTGAGCCTCTGTACCTCGCTTCTCTCCTGCTCAAGTTTTCTCTCACATAGGACGGCCACCTGCCTTGTAACGTGACCAGTAAACAGACCATTCCCTAGTCAAGAGTGGGCTCGCCATCTGTGCCAGCGTGAGGGCGGACGCGGAAGCCACTGCCACGAAGGACGGCAGTTGGCTGCCCACCTTTCTGAGGGTCTTCAAGTCCGTTCGTTGTGAAGGGCCCTGGGCCTGTGTCCTCATCTTTCTACTCTTTTTGTAGTTTCCCTTCTCACAGTTTTGAACAGAATCGTTCTCTTCCTGAATAGATCAAAACCACTGGTGAGAAAGATAAGCCTTGAAGCAGCAATTACCCTTAAAACATCAGCCCCGCCCCGGACCTGCCTGGAGCCAGTGCCCAAGTACGGTTTGGTGTGTAACATCTCTGCGGTCTCTGGGGCCGAGGTTTCGCTGGCTTTTCTTTCTCTTAAAGAAAAAGAACGCACCATTTTCAATATGCTTTGGCCTTTCCTCTCTCTTCCAAATGCTTTCAGCAGCAAATCCCTCCAGGTGTGTCTTGGGTCCTCTTCAGAAGGTGGTGCTGCCCCGACAGGGACCTTGGCCTGTAAGTGCCGAGGACCAGCTCCTCGGGCTGGTTTTCCAGCCTGAGGGCTGTTGCTGCCCAGAAGTGCTGTCAGCGAGTGTGGTGCAGCAGTGCTTCCAGATGGTATTTGCTTGTTCTTCCCCAGCACTTACGTGGGGGAGACCTCAGTAAGGGCCAGGTCTGCACTCTGGCACCAGAGCTCTGAAGCACTCTGAAGGGTCAAAGATGATTGGATGAACGTGCGAACGGTGTCTCATCTCTTAAATACGTCTTGAGAGACTTAATGCAGTCTTAGCAACAGTATAGTATAGCTGCATTCGGTGGCAGTAATCATTCAACAAATTAAACTTTCCTCAAATTTATGCCTCTTTAGAATCCACAACGTAAGCAAACTACAGTCTGATTTTTTTTAAAAAAACCACATATGGAGTCTCCCCCTACAAAAGGGGTGGGGGTTGTAAACCCTCCAAGACTCTTCATTTTCTGCACGTGTGGCTGTGTAAAGACTTGTGTCATTACAGCCTTTGTAAGGAAGAGAAAGGCTCCTCTTGGGGTGGGCTCCGCAGCTGTTCGCTATTTCAAGGCGTGTGATTGCCACCGCCTTCCAGAGTCCCCAGAGCGCCACTGCTTGTAACTACATGTGAAATTTTCAGGCTGTGGGACTCTCATCCCTTCCTCATAAAGCAGCAGTGTTGAAGTTTTAAATACCTGCTAAAATCTAGAAGACTTGGAATCCTGCTGACACTCCAGGATTGGGGGACACAGCAAGGGGTTAGGGTGTCGGTCACAGAACTGAGTGGGAAGAGCCACTTTCGTTGGCTGTGAAGAAATCCTTGCTTTCTTTAAGCCGCAGACCTCTCAGGCTGTCATCCCAGCTCCTCGGGTTTTCTCTGGTCTGTCTGACCCCTGACCCTGCCCAGCACCACAGCCCCCGAGGCTCTGCTTGCTTTTGGTCTCTTCTGTTGCTTTGGCAACCAGCAGATCTTGATGGCTTGCCGGCACTGACGATGGGTCTCAGGTTTGTGACCCGACTCTCAAACGAGCTGGCCTGTGGTGGTCTGGGGTGAAACTGGTTCGGGGGAACCGCAGGTGCAGGGGTTCATCTTGTTTCTTTCCCAGCCATTCCGGCAGCTTCCATGTTGGCTGTGGGTCAGGCGAATGGGTAGAACTCAGAGTACAGGGCTGGGCCGTCGGCCCCGAGCGAGGTGCACACACCGCCAGGGGCAGGTCGAGCTCTTTCACCACAGTGCAGCACTGAGCGCTGTGTGCGCCTCGTCCCGTCATGCTCGTGCTTGACTGTCTCCACTTCTGTTTATGAGAAAGCCAAGTACTTGAGGAATTCCTGGGGTGTGGGCACTGACCCCCACAGCCCCCTGCTGTTCCCCCTGGGGACGTCCCGGTTTAAGCTGAGATGGTTTTCGGGAGCCCGTGGCAGGTGTCAAAGGGCACACCTACTTCTTGAGCCTAGAAAGTCCCGTAAGCACTCAAAGGACGCCTTTCCTGTGGACTGGACGTCGAGGCGGTGAGGGTGTTCTGGGAGCGGGGTCGGGGAGCCTGCGTGGCAGTGCGTCCTTCTTCCAGCCGTCGGCTGGGGACGAGATGCTGCTGGCCCTCGTGTCCTCCTCCCCCAGCTCTTAACCAAGGCCGCCCTGCAGAGACGTTGCGCGTGAGCGTGATGCGCCGTGGCACAGCCTTGTCAAGTCACGGCATCTTTTCTGTCGTTCCAGTTCCAGGGTCTCTCCCGTGAGGACAACAGGCATCCGGAAAGTGCTAACTCGCCACTTCGGGTGCTTACTGTCTGTGGCTTGTTTCCATCACTGGAAATCACTTAGAGAATCTTAGTGTGTTTGGTCCCTGGTAAAACCTAGAAGACATTTGTGATGTTATAAAATGGAAGTTTTGTTTTATAAATCTAAGAAGTTGTGAATGTTGTTAGTCATTTAGCAGTTGCAATAAATGTAGAGGAAACACAATTTTCCATGGTCTCCGTTGATGTGCTGTTAACATCAGACCAGTCGAGCGCATGCAGGTGGTAGTGCAGACGCACGGCTCCCGGGCCGTGCCTCTCCCGCCTGGCACACCCCAGTCCCTGCGTCACCGGGAGAGCCCAGGGGATGCCAGACAGGAGGCAGCAGCCAGAGCCAAGCACGGTGAGGAGGGCAGTTCCTGTTCTGGGAGGCCTGGGGGCAGGGGAAGCAGTACCACTGAGTCAGAAACCTGCCTTTGAGAAGGTGGGAAGGAAGAAGGAGCCCTGCCCCCTGCTCATGTCCCCCCAGGCCTTACCCCACCCCAGGGCTGGGGTTCCAGCTGCCAGAGTAAGACCACGGCCTGCCCGGGCCTCCCCTGCCTGAGGAGCAGCTTCCCAGGCATCGTCAAAGCTCCCCGCTGTTCCCGGTGCTGCCCACCTGCCTGGGACTCCACTGCAGCCCCTCGGCCCTTCTGCTGGTGAGGGGGCGCCGAGGGCACAGCGGGGAGTGAGCCCACACCTGTGGGACCTGTGGATCCTCACCTGCCCGAGTGTGAAGGGGCGGGCCTGGGCGCTGTGCCCGGGTTCCTAGGGCAGGTGAGTCTGCATTTGGGACAGTCCGGTGGCTGGGTTAGCGGGAGAGAAGACTCCACAGGGCCCCTCAGGAAGCTGACGCAGGACCCCAGCCTCGCTTCTCCCCACGGCATCCTGGAGGGCACTCAGGAGTGGCAGTGGCCCTGTGGCCAGCCAAGACTCTCACACACTTACCTTCTTAGTAGTGTCTGGCCACCAGCTTCAGTGCCACTCCTGAGAAAGTCACCTGGAACTGCATCGACGCCACCCCGTGGCGGGTGAGCAGCCGACAGGCGTTTGCTGTCCGGCAGCGGCTCCCCAGCTCCTCGTACTGCCCTGGGGCTGGAGAGGCCACTTAGGACCGGAGGCTGGGGTCTGCAGCTCCCGACGCCCGTCCTGGCTTTGACCCCAGGCAGGCCACTGGACCTCAGGCCTCAGTTTCTTCTCTGCAAACTGGGAAGGATTTCTCCCATTTGGAAGTCAAAATTTCCCTGCTGCTTTGTCATCTAGGGCTGACTGGAACCGAAATACGCCGCTCTCAGCCTCTGCTGCCCCCGGTGCTGCCGGGAAGCTCCAGTGGCAAAAGCGATGAGCCTTTGCTGCGCCTGCGCGCCCATGTGCAGCCGTGCCCGCGTGCAGCCGTGCCCACGTGCACGTTCACGCAACACATGCGTAGTACTCGTTGCAAAAGGTGAAAGAAACAAACCCCAACCCAGGTGTGTGCAAAACAAAGCACGCAGGTGTCCCCTCGCCCTCCTGTGTGATGCGCCACTCGGGACTGGCTTCCTTGTGCCACGGGCGGTCTCAGCGGTCTCCATGGCCTGTGGGGAAAGAGCAGGTCTTGGGTCCCCTTCCACGCCCGGACAATGGTACATACGAGCACATTTTAGATAGAATCCTTAAAATGCAAAGTACACTTCACTGCACGTTCTATTCTGCCCTTTCTTTCACTTAAAAAATTTCTGAAATAAATTTACACATATACTTACATATATGATGTCATTCACCTCACAAGTTCCCCACCCCTAGCCATTTGAGTTGTCCCCAAATTTTGGCCCCTACATCCTAGAACAGGCATCTTTGTGGATAAAGCCCACAAAATGGCATTTCTAGGACCAGGGGTCCCCCGGGGGGGTCTCCTCACCTCACTGCCTCCCCCCACATTGTCCGTGTGTGATCTGACTGGGGGTGACCTTATTGGCGCCTGGATTCCCCAGCTCCCCTGCCTTGGGAGCACGTGGGGGCTGTTGACAAGGGTAAGTGCAGCTGTTCTCATGGGCCCTCGGGGCGGGCTCTGCTGCCAGCTGCACCCCACTGGCCCCTGACCCCTCGGGACATGGACCTGGTCACCACCTGCCTCTGCCCCCTCCAGATCCCCCCATCTGACCCCATCACCCCTGCCCTGACCCACCTCCCCACCTTGACAGCCCGGGAGCCTGCACTGGCTATGGGTGTTCCCCAGGAGGGGGTGCCACCAAGGCCTCGATCTCCCCCTCTGTCCAAATACTGCCCAGATACCCACCCACGGTAGGCACGGGGGCGCGAGGGCCAGAGGTGCACCAGCAGCAGGGATGCCACAGCCGAGCCTCCACAGCTGGCCAGGCAGTGGGGCCCTCTGGGCCTCCGTTTCCTCTGGTGAAGTGCAGCGTGCAGGGTTCAGCACAGTGACCCAGGGAGAGGGTTCAGAGCCACTGGGCTTGTTACTGTGACTGGTCCTTCCACATCCCACTCTCTGGCCCCCAGTTTTCCTCCTACCTCCACCCCTGTGAGGTGAGCATGGCCTGTGGGGATCCCCAAACCACTTCCTGGCTCTCCCTGTTCACCCCCGCAAGCCAGCTCAAGGATGGGGCTGCCCCCGGACTCTGCCCCATCTACAGAGGAGCAGAGACAGAGCGTCCAAAGGAGAGGGGTACTGTGTCCTCCCGCCGTGTGTTTGGGGGTTAGGGGCTGGTCGCAGGGAGGAGCCGGGGATGACGAGTCAGTGCTGGGGCTAGCACCAAATTTCTGCCCAACTGCCAGCTGTCCAGCCCCATTGTACAGACAGGGAAACAGAGACAGAGGAAGAGCTGGGTACCAGGCTGCACGGCGAGTCAGTCAGCTGTCCGTCTGTCCTTCAAAGCCCTCTTTCAAAGTCAGGGAGCCTGCTGGAGCCTCAGTTTCCCCGTCTGGGTGTAGCCTGGCAGCTTGCTGCAGCAGGCGGCAACCTTTCTAGCTCAGCATTGGGACTTACAATGGAGTCTGGGAGTCAAGTACCAGTTCCAATACCTGAATGTCAAGTGCTGAGGGGGCTCCTAGCTGCCCAGCTGGCCATTGGTGAGGGTGACACCCCACCCGCCCTCATGCCCCACTATGCATGTAGACCTCCTTTCAATCTTCAAGGTTCTCGTCCCATGTCCCCTCCTCCAGGCAGCCCTCCTGCTCTCCCCAGAAAGATGCCCAGCTCCCCCTCTGGTTTCCCCAGGTCTCTCCCTGGCCACCCTGGGCTGGGGGTGTCCATATCCACCTCTGTCTCAGCCGGTGGGGTTTGGATCTTTCCTGTAAGTCCCCAGCACTGAATCAATGTTTGATGAAAAGACAATGACCAAGTACATTGTAAAATGTCTGAAGTCTCAGCCTCATGTGTGGGACCCAGCTTTGAGGCAGAGAGACAGACCCAGGCCACCAAGGCCCTGCTTGGAGCACAACAGTGGGTGACCTTGAGCAAGGCTCTTCCCCTCTGAGACTTGGTTTCCCTCATCTGGAACATTAGATGATAAAGCAAGAGGTGGCTGTTGCCAACGTATCATCAAAAGACAACATTTCAACAAATTCAGTTAAATGATCTCCTTGGCTTTTATTTGCAATTCATGAATTGGGTAGCATCTCATCTAAAAATAGAGGGGCTGGGTGCCCTGCTCACATCTGTAATCCCAGCACTTTGGGAGGCCAAGGAGGAAAGATCGCTTGAGGCCAGGAGCTCTTGCTCTGTTGCCCGGGCTACAGTGGCATCAGCGTAGCTCACAGCAACCTCAAACTCCTGGGCTCAAGCAATCCTCCTACCTCAGCCTCCCGAATAGCTGGGACTACAGGCATGTGCCACCATGCCTTGTTAATTTTTCTATTTTTAGTAGAGATGGGCTCTCGCCCTCGCTCAGGCTGGTCTCGAACTTCTGACCTCAAGTGATCCTCCCGCCTCAGCCTCCCAGAGTGCTAGGATTACAGGCGTGGGCTGCAGCGCCTGGCCAAGAGCTCCAATTGTAAACACGAAGATTTCCAGTTGGTCTCATCTTTCTTAGAAGCTCCCCATGTACACGCGTGTGTGTGCACATGTGTGCACCCCATGCAAACCACGTGTGTGTACACACACACGCATGCACACTCAGGTGTATGTTCACACATGCATATATGCACAAAAATACATGCACACACACGCACACAGACACGTGTACACACGTGTGCCAGAGACCTACACATGCACACATGCACGCAGGCACCTATCTATCTACACACACGCGGTTTCTATTTCCCACCAAGCCCATGGCCGGAGAAATTCGGCTTCTCAGGAATTGCAGTTCCATGACTCTGGCACCAGCCGCTTCCTTCAGACCCCAGAAGGGGGACCTCGCGAGCTGAACCTTTCTCCAGAGTCCCCAGGCTGGACTCCTGGTCTAAATGTGAGGAAAGGGAGTTTCAGCTGCAAGATTTCAGCTTCCGCGTTGTGATAACTTAACTTTTGCTAGGAGCAAAGCAAACGTGAGTATTTGAATCCTCAGTCTTAACATGTCCCCGCGTGCCATGTGACCTGGGGCTGGTGATCCGCCTCTCTGAGCCTCAGTTTCCTCATTTGCAAATTGGGAGTGAATAAAAAAAAATCCATTCATCTGTTGATGGACACTTGGATTGTTTCTACCGTTTTGCTGTTGGGAATAGTGCTGCTTTGAACATGGATGTACAAGTTCTGGTTTGAATACTTGTTTTCAATTCTTTTGGGTCTATACTCAGGAGAAGAATTGCTGGATCATAGGGTAACTGTTCACTCTTTTGAGGAACCGCCAAGCTGTTTTGCAAAGCAGCTGCGCCACACTCCAGCCGTTTTGCAAACCAATCTGGGCCAATATTTTTATTTATTTTTTATTTTTTTGAGACAGAGTCTCACTCTGTTGCCCGTGCTAGAGTGCTGTGGCATCAGCTAGCCCGCAGCAACCTCAGACTCCTGACCTTTAATCGATCCTCCTGCCTCTCAGCCTCCCGAGTAGCTGGGACTACAGGCATGTGCCACCATGCCCGGCTAATTTTTTCTACATATTTTTAGTTGTCCAGCTAATTTCTTTCCATTTTTTTTAGTAGAGACGGGGTCTCGCTCTTGCTCAGGCTGGTCTCGAACTCCTGAACTCAAATGATCCACCTGCCTCCCAGAGTGCGAGGATGACAGGTGTGAGCCACCGCGCCT